TGATAAAAAGTAAGCACCAAGCTAACTGAATCACTCTCTAATTTCTGAATTTAAGTAGGTTAATTATTTAATAAGATCAGTAAAAGACACTGTTCTATTAGAAATTTTTATCAACCTTTAAAGTTGAGAACTTAATATTAAATTTTAGTAAAGGCATTCAGTGAAGAATTAGATGAAATGATGTTTTCTGATGATCAGATTTAACAAATTAGATTTTAGAGACTCTGGAGAAATAGTTAGTTGGAAGCGTATGTACAGTTGACCCTTGAACAATGGGAGGTTTAGGGGCACCAACCCCCTGTGTAGCTGAAAATCATGTAACTTTTGACTCTTCCCCAACTAATAATAGCATACTGTTGACCAGAAACCTCACCAATAACATAAAGAGTTAACACATATTTTTATATGTTATATATGTTATATACTGTATTCTTAAAGTAAGAGAAAAGAAAATGTTACTAAGAAAATTATCAGGAAGAGGAAGTATATTTACTATTCATTAAGTAGAAGTAGATCATCATAAAAATCTTTACGCTTGTTGTCTTCATGTTGAGGAAGGGAAAGAGGAGTGATTGGTCTTGCTGTCTCACGGGTGGCAGAGGCAGAAGATGTGGAGGAGATGGAAGGGTAGGCAGGAGAGGCAGATACACTCAGTGTAACTTTACAGAAATCATAATTTCTGTCCAACTTTTTTGCTTTTTCATTTCTCTAAAAATGTTTCTAAGCATGGCACCAATTCTTCTTCCACTGTTGGCTTTAATTTTAGTGCCTGTGTCATAGGGTTTGTGTTCTAAAAATAAATCAAAAGCAGTCTTGAATAATTGTAACCCTTCTGCCAGATTGTCTAAAGTAGATTTGTTTTCTGGCACTGCTTCTTCTGCTTCTTCCTGACCGTCTGGCACTGGTTTGGAAGCACTCTTCTTCATCAAGTTGTCTTCTGTTAATTCCTCTGATGTGGTGTCCATTAGCTCTTGAATTTCTCCAAGATTCGTATCCTGAAACCCTTCACCTCCCTCCAGCGCCCCCCCCCCTTTTTTTTGCTATATCCACAATTTTATGATTCCTTCATTGGTTCTGTTATAAATCCTATGAAGTCATGTGCAACATCTGGACACAGTTTTGCCCAGCAGGAATTTATTGTTTTGTGCTTCACGGCTTTCACAGCTTTTTTTGTGGCGGTGGTGGCATTTTCAGTGGTGTAATACTTCCAGACTTCTATGATGGTCTGTTGGGGTTCTGTTCCACAGCATTGATGATCTCTTTTGTAGACTACAGTGTATAATGAGCCTTTGGTCCTTATGACCCCCTCATCTAGAGGCTGAATTAGAGACGTCTCGTTTGGGGACACATAGACTACTTTGACGCCTTCATGGAGTTCTGGGTGGCCAGGGGCATTGTCCAGTATGAGAAGAATTTTAAAAGGCAGTCCCTTACTGGCAGGGTACTTCCTGACTTCAGGGACAAAGCATTGATGGAACCAGTCCAGAAAAAGTGTTCTTCTTGCCCAGGCCTTCCTTCTGTATAACCAAAAGACTGGTAGCCAGCCAATGTCTTCTATCTTTTCCTATCAAGGCTCAGGTTAGCAGCTTTATAGAAAGGGCAGTCCTGATTATAAGCCTGACTGCATTTGCACAAAATAGTAGAGTTAGCCTATACTTTCCTGCTTTAAATCCTGGTGTTTGCCTTTCTTCCTTACCAATAATTGTTCTTTGTGTGTGTGTGTGTTTTTTTTTTTTTTTCCAGAATAAATTACTTTCATCTGCAAAAACCTGTTCAGGAAGATACTCATTCTCCTCAATGATATTCTTAAATTCTTAATGATATCTGGGAAATCATGTGTTGCCTCTTGTTTGGCAGAAGCTGCTTCTTCTGTTATGTCTCTTTTTTTTTTTTTTTTTTTTTTTGAGATGGGAGTCTCACTGTGTCACCCAGGCTGGAGTGCGGTGGCACAGATATAGCTCACTGCAACCTCTGCCTCCTGGGCTCAACTGATCCTCACACCTCAGCCGATAGTTGGGACTATAGGCGCAGGCCACCACACCTGTCTAATTTTTTTTGGTATGTTTTAGAGAAACGGGGTCTTGCCATGTTGCCCAGGCTGGTCCTGAACTCCTGGAATTAAGTGAGCTGCCGGCCTTGGCCTCCCAAAGTGCTGGGATTATAGGCATGAGCCACCATGCTTGACCTTCTGGTATCTTGACATTTTTAAAGCCATACCTCTTTCTAAAATGATCAGACGATGCTTTGCTGGCATTAAATTCTCCAGCTTTAGATCTGTCACCTCCCTTTTGCTTTAAGGTATCATATAATGACTTAGCTTTTCTTTAATCATATTAGAGTCTGTAGGTACGCCTTTCTTATAACAATTCTGTACCCACACAGAGGCTGCATTTTCAATACAAAATAAAAAGGTATTTCACAAAATGTTCGAGGTTTTTGGCCTTTTGGGATAGCTGCAGTGACGCTTCACGAATTTCCTTTTCTTTTTTGACAATGGTCCTCATATGCCAGATTCATTTATCTTGAAAAGGTGGGCAACTGCAGCTGAAGACCTCAACCTACTGTACATATCAAGCAAGTCAGCGCTTTTCTTTTAATGTCATAACTTTGCTTCTTGAGAACGCTTTCAGCATCACTAGTGCCACTTCCCATGGGTCTGTGCTGGTATTCAAGGTTTATGTTATTGCACGAAACACAATGAAAAATCTTCAAGAACTGCAAGATACAATTTTTTACTATGATAGCAATTTATTAGAGAGATGAACTGCTCATGCAGAAATGGTTAACATCACATGGCATTTTAAGTGGATACTCACACTTGAGCTCACTGCAATAGCAACAGAAGGTGGCTGTGAAATTATTATACTAGAGGTTTTTGCGGTTATGATTAATATTACATCTTTAACATTGTTTATGTTTCTCTCTCCTGTGAATGATGCTATGTATGTTATGGTAGTAAATGTTAAACTAAAATAAACTAGTATCTGCATATATTTTATGCATTCATGACATGCCTTTTTTGTTTTTTCAATATTGCTAGGCTACACAGTTCCTCTGCATGTATTTTTAAATTGTCAAAAATCTCTCAAAAATTTTCTAATGTTTATTGGAAAAATCCACATATAAGTAAGCCAGGCGCAGTGGCTCACGCCTGTAATCCCAGCACTTTGGGAAACCAAGGCAGGCGGATCACTTGAGCCCAGGAGTTTGAGACCAGCCTAGCCAACATGGCCAAAGTTTAGTTTCCAAACTTCTAATTAATATCTTACAGTATTATACTTAAAAATCAGCATCTATGCATACAATAGAAGTTTTAATCAGTATTCATTTAAGCTTAGTTGTCTGTTGCCTAATTTCCTCACTCTGAGTAGGATTCTTTCCCTTTGCTTATATGAGAAATTTCAAAACAAAGATTTGGAGGTAGCCCAGGCACTGTGGCTCATGCTTGTAACCTCACCACTTTGAGAGGCCGAAGTAGGCAGATTGCTTGAGCCCAGGAGTTCAAGACCAGCCCAGACGACATGGTGAAACCCCACGTCTACAAAACATACAAAAATTAGCCTGTGTGGTGGCACGCACTTATAGTCCCAGCTACTTGGGAGGCTGAGGTGGGAGTATAGTTTGAACCCAGGAGGTAGAGGCTGCAGTGAGCCGTGATCATGCCCTTGAACTCCAGCCTGGGTGGCACAGTGAGACCCTGTCTCAATCAATCAATCAATCAATTGGCAGATGGGGTGTGATTATTGTTAAACATTAGAGCCCTTTTTTTGTTTTTTTCTTTTTGAGATGGAGTCTCTCTCTGGAGGCTCCCAGGCTGAAGTGCAGTGGCGCAATCTTTGCTCACTACAGCCTCCGCCTCTTGGGTTCAAGCAGTTCTCCTGCCTCAGCCTCCCGAGTAGCTGGAATTACAGGTGCCTGCCACCACATCAAGCTAAGTTTTGTATTTTTAGTAGCGACAGAGTTTCACCATGTTGTCCAGGCTGGTCTTGAACTCCTGATCTCAGGTGATCTACCTGCCTAGGCCTCCCAAAGTGCTGGAATTACAGGCATGAGCCACCTTGCCCAGCCGGAGCCCTTGATTTTTAAAAAGTTTTATTGAGGTGCATACCATAAAATCAGTCAACTTAAAGTATACAATTCAGTGATTCTGTGCAACCATCGTCACATTCCATTTTAAACCATTTTTATCATCCCAACAAGAAACACTCATCAGCAGTGATTCCTCATTTATCTCCAACTCTTTCAGCCCTAGACAACCACCAATAGATTTGCCCTTTCTGGATATTACGTATAAATGGAATTATATACATGTTGCCTTTTTCACCTGGCTTCTTCAGTTTAGCATAATGTTTTCAAGGTTTATTCAGGTTGTAACATGTATCAGTACTTTTTTTTTCTTTTTATGGCTCATATTTCTTTGAATAGATACATTTGTTTACTCATTAACTGACAGATACTTGGATGTCTGCTTTTTAATGAATTTTAAATGAATTTTAAATGAATTTTATATGAATAAGGCTACAATGACCACATGTGTACAGGTTTTTTTTTTCTTTCTTTCTCAACCCTCAGATGGTAAAAAGTATCATGTACAAGTTCTTTGTGAATACATGTTCTCAGTTCTCTTGGGTACATACCTAGAAGTGGAATTGGCTGGGTTATATGTTGACTGTGTTTAATCTTTTGAGGAACTATCAAGCTGTTTTCCAAAGCTGCTGCAACATTTTATATTCCCACCAGTATTGTATGAGGGTTCCAGTTTCTCCACATCCTTGCTTACACTTGTTACTGTCTTTTTGATTATAAGCAAGTAAGTGTGAAGTGGTAGCTCATTATAGTTTTGATTTGCATTTGCCTGATGGGTAATGATGTTGAGCTTGATTTGTAAAAGAAAAGCAGTAAGTTGGTTTCATTGAGAATATAAAAATGAACATGTTTGGTAGTTTCATGTAATTGCTTGGAGAGTTTTGCTGTATGTAAATTTGTTCTTTTTTCATCAGCTGTATTCCCTGAATGACTATAAACCACCCATTTCGAAAGCAAAAATGACCCAAATTACTAAGGCCGCCATCAAAGCTATTAAGGTGAGTAATAAATTTGACTCTTCTATTTTCAAAAGAAAAAACTATATTAATAGTTTGATGGGGGATAATTTTTATGGATTGTATGTTCTCTTTCACTTTACAGAGTTAACACGTGTTAATTGTGGAAAAACACAGAAAATCTGTCACCTGTAGACTTTCCCACCTAGAGATAAACATTTAATGTTTATTATTACGCTTTTTAAGAGACAGTGTCTTATTCTGTCACCCAGGCTGGACTGCAGTGCCACGATCATAGCTCACTGTGGCCTCGACCTCCTGGACTGAAGTGATCCTGTTGCCTCAGCCTCCCGAACATTTAACATTTCGATAAATGTTCTTCCTTAAGCATTCTTCCATAAATTTTTTGAAGCAGTCATTTTTCCTCACCTTTCTTAGACAGATAATATTTTGCATATATCCACATTATGGAGAATGTGTTTAACAGTGTCTTTTGCCACACTGACTTGACAGAACCTTGAAATTTGAGTGGTAAAAGGTTTCTATATATTGATATATTCATTTTTTCTTGTTGATTCTATTAATATTATAGATTTGAAGTTAGGCCATTAAGGAAAACAATTGTGACTCTTTGTATCAGGGATTTGAACTGTGGGAAATGGCCATAGACATTTAACCTTTGCTCTCATAAAGTAGGTTTTGAACCTATGTTAACTCATGAATACTTCTGAAAATCTTAGGAGAAGGTTGGATCCTCTCTAGAGAAATACACGTATGCACACAATTTTATAGGAACTTTTTGGCAGAAGGGTCTTTTCAAGCTCAGCCATAGATTTTTCCCCAAGAAGTTCTTGTGCCCGGGGCTGAGATTCCCTGAATTAGTAGGCCTCTTAAAATTGAGAATAAATGAGTACTTATTTCTAATTAAGTAGATACTAACCTATGAATATTCAGTGGTATGTTTTCCTGCCCTGAATTAAAATATTAACTGTAACCAAAAGCACCAACTATTTAAATTATCTTTTAAATAACAACAATGTGGTAGATTTAACAAATTTCCATTTACTAGTAATTACTAGTGGGAGAAAATTCAGATCATTAGTTGATTTTGCGGTTTTCTAGTGGCTAAAGCTTAGTTTTCAGACTTGTTAGTATCTTACATCTATAGTTAAAATCCATGTACTTACGTGACAGGAAATGAGAGAGAATGACAGTAGCTATAAGCACGTTGAAGCCAGAAAATCTTTCAAAGACATGATTTTTTAGAGTATTTGATAGGCTTACTATGGATTAATGTTATTGTCTTATACTTTATTCTACATTGTCTGATTTTTATGGTCATGATCATTTGAAACTATGCAAACGTGTATTTTTTTCTGTGACAATTAGTAATTGATGCACTTTTCATAGCTTGTTGAGCAGAGTACTTTCTTAATAGAGTTAATGAGGCATAGGTGCAAACAGTGTTTTCTATTTTCAGATGTCAGACGGGTCTGAGAGAAATTAAGTAATTTGCAGTAGTAGGAGTAACTATAGCTAGAATTTTAATCCAGAATTCTGTCAGTCAAGAGTCTAACTCTGGACACAGTGGCACACATTGTTAGTCCTAGCTACTGGGTAGGCTGAGGCAGGATGATCGCTTGAACCCAGGAATTTGAGGCCAGCCTGGGCAACATAGTGAGATCTTGGCTCTTAGTTTTTTTTTTTTTTTTTAAAGAAGTAATGTTTTTTAAAGAGTCTAATCTTTATTATTATGATATATTTTACTGTTTTGACTTACTGTTTTTAATGTTTTGAATTTTGAAAAAATTTTAAACGTAAGTTGCAAATTATTATGGTGAGCAGGACATATTCTTCCCTTTGATTTGCTGATTGTTAACATTTTGCTACACGTGGAAGTTAGTTTCAAACTTCATTCGTAATAACAATCCTTGATACATACTTGAGTTTGAAACTCCTGAGAATAAAGACATTTTGCTAGGGAACCATAATACACCAATCACATGCAAAAAATTTCACTTTGATATAATTATCTAATATACAGTTCATCGTTACATTTTAATGTTGTTGCATTGTTGACTAGTAGCTGTTCCCATCAACCTTGCTCTTTCAGAATCCAGTCAAGATCACACATTATACTTATTTGTCCTGTCACCCAGCCGTTTTTTTTGTGACTTGACATTTTTGAAGAGTCTAGACCAGCTGTTTTTCACTACTTTCTTTAAATTGCATTTTGTGTGTGTGTGTATATATATATATAGAAAACACTGCATTTTATTAATCAGATTTAAATGATACTGTGTTTCATATTGAAGTAAGTCATTGTTTTTTATATAGAAATGATTAATGAGTGATGGTTAACATTGCACTGTCTACAAAACCTCCCAGAAAACCTACTGTGGAAGAAGGCCTATGAGAATTAATAAACTTTCAGTTAAGATTTAGGAAGCAATTTTCTAATTGTGTATAGTAACTAGAAGCAAAGAACACTGTCAAGATGTCTTCCAGAAGAATTGTTCCTTCAATGTGTAGTTATTTAATATTTTGCATATTGATTTTTAAATGTTCAGGGGCCTGTAAAGAGCCTAATAACTTTAAGTAGTTGTTTTAGCTTTATTACTTAAGTAACTTAAACCATTGAGTAAACTTACTTGATTGTAAGTAACTTTAGCCAAACTTAAACTTGTAGGTTTTGATTTGGTGAATATGAGTTCATGATGTTTTCCTTTATTTTTGTTATAAATACTGGATTTAGTGCTGAGGTTTAGTTGAATGTTCATATTTCTTCAGTCTAAGGGAATGTCCTTAAAATCCATAATTCATGAGAAGAAAAGTATAAAGACGGCCGGGCACAGCGGCTCACTCCTGTACTCCCAGCACTTTGGGAGGCCGAGGTGGGCGGATCACTTGAGGTCAAGAGTTGGAGACCAGCCTGGCCAACATGGCGAAACCTCATCTCTACTAAAAATACAAAAATTAGGCATAGTGGCTTGCTTCTGTAGTCCCAGCTACTTGGGAGGCTGAGGTGGTAGAATTGCTTGAACCCACGAGGTGGGGGTTGCAGTGAGCCGAGATTGTGCCACTGCACACCAGCGGGACAGAGTGAGACTATGTCTCCAAAACAAACAAAAAAAAGTATAAAGAGAAGCACAATTCAGGTTCTTTAAACAGAAATAATACGCCAATATGGTATTGTTATTGTGGCATTAAAATTTATTAGGCACAAATTCCTTTTTTTTTTTTTTTTTTTTTTTGAGACGGAGTCTCACTCTGTCGCCCAGGCTGGAGTGCAGTGGCCGGATCTCAGCTCACTGCAAGCTCTGCCTCCCGGATTTATGCCATTCTCCTGCCTCAGCCTCCTGAGTAGCTGGGACTACAGGCGCCCGCCACCTCACCCGGCTAGTTTTTTGGATTTTTTAGTAGAGACGGGGTTTCACCGTGTTAGTCAGGATGGTCTCGATCTCCTAACCTCGTGATGCACCCGTCTCGGCCTCCCAAAGTGCTGGGACTACAGGCTTGAGCCACCGCGCCCGGCCTACGCACAATTCTTTATGCTAATTTTATAATTTATTTCAAGTTTATTCATAGTGCTATATTTTATGAAACTTAAATCTTCTAAGTTTTCTTAAAAGTGATAGTGGCCCATTACTAATTTTTAATCTGCATGTTCACTTCTGCTGATTCATTTTGTCTGATGCATTAGGATATTATACATTTCTATGTTTTATTTTGTATTCTTGTAGTTCATTTTCCAGGAGAAGCAGGAGATAAATGAAGTTGAAAACAACTACCTTACATACATTTATTAATGTTACTTGTAGTTATTTGATTTTTTGAATTTCCCTTGATTTAACTGATAATATTATATGAAATCTGTACTTTTCCTTTCGTCAATGTAAGAACATACACGCACCAGTATTTATGGCAAGTATTTTGCTGTCAACACAACTGTTTGTTAAAGTGTACTTTCAGAAGGTCTTCAATAGCATTATTTCATATCTATGGTAAGGTAATGCACTTTGGACATACTGATCATACATCTACTTCAGAGAAGCCTTTTACTAATTATATAGCACAGCTAGTTGCATATAAAGGTGAGTGACAAGAATGTCTCAGAATTCTTGGTTAAGATAATTGTTTTGATAGACCTTTGGAACATGTAAAACCTGTGGTTAGGAAATTTCAGTCTCCTCAAACTGATTTTAAAACCATACTTCATTTTTTTCCTCTTTTAGTTCTATAAACATGTGGTACAGAGTGTTGAGAAGTTTATTCAGAAAGTAAGTATATAATTTTCCATACATGTGCTATAATTATAGATTAATGCCTGTACTCTTCTCCTTTAGATCAAATACCCAAGTTTAAGTTGTTTTGATGGACTGTTAAAAAGTGATTCCAGTTATTTTATTTGCTAATTAAGAAATAAAATGAAAGTGCCTTTCATATAATTTTACTTAGGTTTGTATTCTGCCTATGTTCATGTGCCTAAATGTAAGCAGAGCCAGTTTGAGAATCAGTGTCATGTGGCATTAAGGATTCAGCAAGGTTGCAGTTTGTTTATGTTCTTCACCTGGGAGAAAGTGCGGGACTTGAAGTGAGATTTCAGTCATTCAACTGGCTAGGTAACTTTGAATAAGTCAGTTAGCCGTTATGTGATTCAGTTCCTTTTTCTTTTTTAAAATTCTTGTTTTCTCAATATTTAAAATATGGTATTGATAGGCTGTGCACAATGGCCCGCACCTGTAATCCCAGCACTTTGGGAGGCCAAGGTGGGTGGATCACTTGAGGCCAGGAGTTCAAGACCAGCCTGACCAAGATGACAAAACCCTGTCTTTACTAAAAGTACAAAAATTAGCTGACATGGTGGTGCATGCCTGTAATCCCAGCTACTTGGGGAGGCTGAGGCACAAGAATTGCTTGAACCCAGGAGGCAGAGGTTGTAGTGAGCTGGGATCACACCACTGCACTCCAGCCTGGGGAACAGAGTGAGACCCTGTCTCAAAAAATGTGTGTGTGTATGTAGTATCGATAAAACATATTTGGGGATTAAGTGGTTTAGGTAACTTGAAGCTAAGATAAAGGGTTGAATAACAAGTATGCTGTTTGTTTCACTTAAAGTTGAAAAATGTTAGTGATTGGAACATTTTATTTGGTCTTACGCTTTTAAAAGCATTTCTCAGAGATTGTTGTTCTGATAAAAGATCTTTCTTTAAAAGTTTTAATGTCTGGTTTGTTTTTGGTTTTGTTTTGTTGTTGATTTTGTTTTGTTTGTTTTGTTTTGTTTTTTGGACGGAGTCTCACTCTGTCATCCAGGCTGAAGTGCAGTAGCATGATCTCGGCTCACTGCAACCTCTGTCTTCCGAGTTCGAGCTATTCTCTTGCCTCAGCCTCCCCTGTAGCTGGGATTACAGACATGCGCCACCATGCCCAGCTAATTTTTTTTGTATTTTTAATAGAGATGGGGTTTCACCATGTTGGCCAGGCTGGTCTTGAACTCCTGACCTCAAATGATCCATCCCTCTTGGCCTCTCAGAAGTGCTGGGATTACAGGCGTGAACCACAGTGCCCAGCCGAAAAGTTTTAATGTCTTACACTGTGCCTCATAAACTTTATAAGTAGGAATTTACCTAGGAATCTTGTTAAAAATGCCTGAGATTCTGCATTTGTAGCAGCTCCTAGATGATGTTTCTTCACAAGCCACAATTTGAGTTGTAAAGGTTTAAAAGGTAAAAGTGAATTTATGGATAAATGCTTGTTGACTGATTTCATTTGGGGTAGGGTACTTTGAATAAAACGTGTTAGAATCTTAGGAAGACCTGGAATGAGCAAAGTTATTCCATCGTGAGATAATTACAGTCATTCTGAAGAAGCCAGTCAGTCTATGGGGAAAAACTTAAATGCTTTGCTACCACCCTGTTTAAATCAGAGATCCAGCAACAGATTTGTGTAATGGTTAAAATAAGTTGTGTGTGTGTGTGTATATATATAAAAAAATATATATATATAAATATTTAAACTTTTACTTCTGAACTAATTATAGATTCACATGTCATTAAATCATAAGGAATAAATCATGTAGAGATCCCATGTGCCCCTCGCTCAGTTTCCCACTGTGGTGACGTTCTGTAGAATTGTAAAATACTGCAATCAGGACATGATACAGTCACCTATTGACACTAACCTTACTCAGATTTTAATTGTCTTACCTGCACTCATTTGTATATGTATGCATTTAATCATATATATAGATTCATACAAACATCACCATAGTCAAGATACAGAACAGTTTCTTCACCACTAGGATGCCTTGTGTTTCCCTTTTATATACTCTATAGTCACACTGGACTCACCTCCTCCTCCCCACCATCCCTAATCCCTAAGGCCTGGCAGTCATTAACCTGTTCTCTTTCTCTATTTTGCATTTCAAAATGTTATATAAATGGAATCATACAAAATGTAACCTTTTGAGATTGCCTGGTTTTGCCCACGTAATTCTTTTGAAATCTATTGTTGCATGTATCAAATAGTTCCTTCCTTTTTTATTTAAAAATTTTACTTTAAGTTCTGGTATACAAGTGCAAAACATGTAGGTTTGTTACATAGGTATGCCTGTGCCATGGTGGTTTGCTGTACCTATTAACTCATCATCTAGGTTTTAATCCCCACATACATTAGCTGTTTGTCCTAATGCTGTCCCCCACCTCGCCCCCCACCCCCAGGTGGCCCTGGTGTGCTTTGTTCCCCTCCCTGTGTCCACGCGTTCTCATGGTTCAACTCCCACTTACGAGTGAGAACATGGGATCTTTGGTTTTCTGTTCTGTGTTAGTTTGCTGAGGATGATGGCTTCCAGCTTCATCCATGTCCCTGCGAAGTACATGATCTCATTCCTTTTTATGTCTGCATAGTATTCCATGGTGTATATGTACCACATTTTCTTTATCCAGTCTATCATTGATGGGCATTTGGGTTGATTCCATGTCTTTGCTACTGTGGATAGTGCTGTGGTAAACATACGTGTGCATGCGTCTTCATGGTAGAATAATTTCTATTCCTTTGGGTATATACCAAGTAATGGGATTGCTGGGTCAAATGGTATTTCTGGTTCTAGATTCTTGAGGAATTGCCACACTGTCTTCCACAATGGTTGAACTAATTTGCATTCCCACCAAGAGTATAGAAGTGTTCTGTTTCTCCACAGCCTCACCAGCATTGGTTGTTCCTTGACTTTTAAGTAATCACCATTCTGACTGGCATGAGACTATATCTCATTGTGGTTTTGCCCCCGAAACTCCTTAAACTGATAAGCAACCTCAGCAGAGTCTCAGGATGCAAAAATCACAAGTATTCCTATACATCAACAATATGCACCAAGCAGAGAGTCAAATTATGAATGAACTCCCATTCACAGTTGCTACAAAGAGAATAAAATACCTAGGAATATAGCTAACAAGGAGTGTGAAGGACCTCTTCAAGGAGATCTACAAACCACTGCCCAAGGAAATCAGAGAGGACACAAATGGAAAAACATTCTATCCTCATGGATGGGAAGAATCAATACCGTGAACATGACCATACTGCCCAAAGTAATTTATAGATTAAATGCTATTCCCACAAACTACCATTGACATTTTTCACAGAATTAGAAAAAACTACTTTATGGAATAGGAAAAGGGCCTATATAGTCAAGACAATCCTAAGCAAAAAGAACAAAGCTGGAGGCATCATGCTACCTGAGTTCAAACTATACTACAAGGCTACAGTAACCAGAAAAGACATATAGTTCCTTCCTTTTTATTTCTGAGTAGTATTTCAGGGTGTGAATTTACCACAGTTTAATCATTCACTTATTGGGGTTCATCTGGATTGTTTCTAGTTTTTGGTTATTATGAATAAAGCTGCTAGGAACACTTGTATACCCAGAGTTGTTTTGTGTGTGAGTGTAAGTTTCATTTCTTTGGGATAGTAAGTACATGTCTCCATTTTATAAGAAACTAACAAACTGTTTTCCAAGATGGCCGTACCATTTTATATTCTCTTCATATAGCATAAATTGTATAAAGGAGAAGTGTGGCTGCAGTTTGGTCATATATTATCCATGAACCCATGTTTTAGTCATGAAAGATTTATGCAGTAATAGATGACGGTAAATGAAAAATTAACAGTAAATATGATTTGCTTTAGGCCAAGAAAACTACTCTAAAGAATACTCTGGCCTCTGGCCTTGTCCTAATTGATTTTGCCAAAAATCAGTTCATATGCTGATTGTGTCTTAGCTTTATAAGACAGAAACACCTGGGCACTCTGGCTCATGCCTGCAATCTAGCAGTTTGGGAGAGGCCAAGGCTGGTGGATTGCTTGAGCTCAGGCGTTTGAGACCAGCCTGGGCAAACACGGCAAAACCCTGTCCCAGCCTAAAAACTACAAAAAGTAATTGGGCAAAGTGGCAAGTGCCCGTGTTCCTAGCTGCTTATGTGGGTGGGGTGGAAAGATTGCTTGAGGCTTGAGTTCAGGAGGAGGTTGAGGCTGTAGTGAACCATCATTGTGCCACTGCACTCTAGCCTGGGCAACAAAGCAAAAGCTTGTCCAAAAAAAAAAAAACAAACAAACAAGAAACAAAAAAAACAAAACGAGGACGACAGCAGCAGCAAAGGCTGGAGTTACAAACAGATAAGGAAACTTTAGAAGACACGTTTTAGAACTTCTGTTTTCATGCTGTGTTCTCTAGAGGGACAGAACTAATAGGATATGTGTATATATACACACGTATACAGGGTACGTATAGATATAACTAATAGGATATATGTGTGCGTGTATGTATATATGCATATACACACAGGGAAGTTTAAGTATTAAGTATTAACTTACACGATCACAAGGTCCCACAGCAGGCTGTCTGTAAGCTTGAGGAGCAAGGACAGTCTGAATCTCAAAACTGAAGAACTTGGAGTCCAGTGTTCGAGGGCAGGAAGCGTCCAGCACGAGAGAAAGATGTAGGCTCGGAGGCTAGGCCATTCTCTCCTTTTCATATTTTTCTGCCTGCTCTATACTTGATGGCAGCTGATTAGATGGTGCCCATCCAGATTAAAGGTGGGTTTGCCTTCCCCAGCTCACTGGGAACATTTAACTCAAATGTTATTCTCCTTTGGCAGCACCCTCACAGACACACCCAGGATCAATACTTTGTATCCTTCAGTCCAGTCAAGTTGACACTCAGTGTTAACCATCATAGATCCCTATATTTGCATTATAAATAACTAACTTGCCTTAGTTGTCCTGAATCCTAAAGGCAATAAATTTTTTTTTGAGCCAGAGCCCTCATGATTTAGTGACTTTTCTACCATCCATAGCTAACCATTCTGTTCTCATTTGCTAGTTTGAAATGTGAAAATGAAATCCTCAGCTCTGTTCCAAAAATATGTAGAGTTTACCCAACTCTTTTTGTCTGTATGAAATCCCCTGCCTTTTTTGCATGAATACGACAAACAAATCTGTCCACTAGATTCAGAATAAGATTGAATATTATCATTCAGAACTATTTATTCTGAAAAAATCTAGATGCTTTGTTATAGTGAAATACATTCTATGGTACTGTGGCTACTCTTAGATACGGTGAAGTCGAAAATAAATTTCATCTTTCTGGCTCTGAAAATGGTCTGTAGATGAGTTACTGTTGCCTTAATCTGTAAGTTTTTGGCTATCATTACCTTCTTCACATTTCCTGTGCTGCATACTTAGTAAGAGCAAGAAATGTGGCTTATTTGTGGTGATTTTCAGGTTACATTTACTTTGTAAATAATAAATGAAAAGATGGTGCTAAACTGTCTAAAGATTATCATCATGAAAGTTTTTTGTTTTCTAGAAACTTGATCTGGTAACTTTATGTACATGGTTGTTATGGTGGTTGATATTTTGCAGTGGATATGTACTTTTCAGTGAAGCCAAACATTTATGCTTCTGGTCTTTGATATTTTTCCAGAGGAAGGATTGAGTCCACATTGAAAGATGGCTGAGCTAGGCGTGGTGGCTCACGCCTATAATCCCAGCACTTTGGGAGGTCAAGGTGGGCAGATCACCTGAGAGGCCAGGAGTTTGAGACCAACCTGGCCAAAATGGTGAAATCCCGTCTCTACTAATACAAAAAGTTGGCAGGCGTGGTAGTACACGCCTGTAATCCTATCTTCTCAGGAGGCTGAGGCAGGAGAATTGCTTGAACCCACGAAGCAGAGGTTGCAGTGAGCTGAGATCGTGCCACTGCACTCCAGCCTGGGTGACAGAGTGAGACTCCGTCTCAAAAAAATAAAAGAAAAAGAAAGATGGCTGTTATATTTACTTACCTCTGGTGTCTTGAGATATATATATATATCTTTTTTCATGTAGGGTGCAGTATTCTGTAACTGGACTTTTATCATAAGTGTACCTTTACCCTTGGAGGTAGGATACAAAAAGATTTTTGTACATGGGCACAAACAGTTTGAAAGGAGTATATTTCCAGATTCTCACTTTTTCATATGTACTTTTATTAAAGCTCCTTTTCCCTAGGATATTTTAGATCAACGTAAGTTCCACACTTCTTAAATTTACGTTTCAAATATATCTTAAGCTTATCATTCTTAATCATTATGATTAGAGAAACTTTTGCTTCTTGCTTTATTTAAGAAACCAGGGATGTTTATATAATTACAGTCACTCGTCCGTATCTGTGGGTTCCAACTCATGGGCTCAGCCTATTGGGATCAAAATTTGGGGAAAAAATAGTCCACGAAATTCCAGAAAGCAAAGCTTGAATTTCCTGTACGCTGAGTACAATGTGAATGAAGCGATGTGTAGGCGTTGTATTAGGTATTCAAAGTAATCTAGAGTTGATTTAAAAGTATATGGGATGATGTCCGTAGGTTATATGCAAATACTGCCCATTTTATATAAGGGACTTGAGCATCCTTGGATTTTGATATCTGCAGGGGTCTTGGAACCAGTCCCCCAAGGCTACTGAGGGACAACTGTATTTCTTTTTATTGTGAAATTTCTATGTACATCTGTAGAAAAGTACAGAAAACAATATATACAGCCAAATTTTTATAAAGAGAAGACCTATGTAACGCTCACTTATTTCAAGAAGTAGAACTTTGAAGCCCACAAGCCCCAAGTACGTCTTCCTAATCATGTCTTGCACACCCCCTACCCAGGTAACCACAGTTTGACTTTTGTGTCACATCCTTGCTTGACATTATAGTTTTACTTTGTATAAAATGAATTCTTAAAGTGGTTTAATGTATTTTAAATTCTTAAATGTAATCCTATGGTATGTATTCTTTTTATACAGTTCTCCTAGTCAACATCATGTGTCTAGGATTCATCCTTGTGTGTAGCAGTATTTATTACTATCTGTTGCTGTATATTTTCCATTATGTGAATAGACAGCAGCTTGCCCACATCTCCTGTTGACACTGTGTGTGTTTTCTAGTTTTTGCAATTCTGTACAGTATTGCTGTGAACAGTGTAATATTTACATATGTAGGATTATAAGTATCCTGATACAGCTTGCATTTCTGTAGGAGTGGAATTGCTGGTTACAGGGTATGCATTTCTTCACCGTGGCTAGATAATACTAAATTAGTTTTACTATGATTGTGCTGATTTACATTCCTCCTCATGGTGCATGGGTTTGTGTTGCTTCCCATTTTTGTCAGCACTTGGTATTGTTAGATTTAAATTTTTCTAATCTATCGAGCCATCTTCCTTACATGCCACACCATTAGTATTATTCAGTGCTTTGCAGGTATAGCCACATGATTCTGTTTCTACCACTCTAGCTTTGTTGTCTTTAAATTAATATCACCTTTTAGTACCTGCAGGCGGGAGCACAAATTCTAAAAATAGGATAATTATTTAAGGTATATTTGTATATTGCAAAGTGTATGGTCCAACTTACTTAGAAGGTTCTTTGACAAATAACCATAACAGATGTTAACCTGCAGATGATAACTTGGATGACAAAATGAAAAATCATGGAAATATACTTAAGGGTGCATTCTCCCTATTCGTTCTTATCTTTCTCCCCCTAAAAAGGCTATTTCTCTGTAAAACAAGAAATTGGAAACTACTAGAATATAGTTGAAAAATGGTGTATCTATAAAAACTTAATATGATATGCTTTAGAAAGTTATTTACAGTAAAAATACCTTATGCCATTGTGTAACTGCCCAGTGGGTTCACCTTACCTGCTGCCTAGACAGAGCCAATTTATCAAGACAGGAGAATTGCAGTGGAGAAAGAGCAATTCACGCAAAGCTGGCTGTGCAGGAGACTGGAGTTTTATTGTTATTCAAATCAGTCTCCAAGAGCATTCGGGGATGGAGTATTGGAGTTTTTAAAGATAATTTGGTGGGTAGGGGCTCAGGAAGTGGGGAGTGCTGTTGGTCAGGTTGCAGATGGAATCATAGGGAGGTCGAAGTGAGGTTTTCTTACTGTCTTCTCTTCCTGGGTGGGATCGCAGAACTGGTTGAGCCAGATTACCAGTCTGGGTAATGTCAGCTGATCCATCCAGTGAAAGGTCTGCAAAATGTCTCAAGCACTGATCTTAGGTTTTATGATAGTGATGTTATACTCAGGAGCAATTTGGGGAGGTTCAGACGCTGCGTGACCCTAAACTGTAATTTCTAATCTTGTAGCTAATTTGTTAGTCTTACAAAGGCAGACTGTAACCCAGGCAAGAAGAGGGTCTTTTTGGGAAAAGACTATTATTAAATATTAATTTTGTTTCTGAATCAAACCATAAACTAAATCCCCTCCCAATGTTATTTCGGCCCAGGCCCAGGAATGACAAGGACAGCTTAAAAGTTAGAAGCAAGATGGAGTTGGTTAGGTCTGCTCGCTTTCACTGTCGTAACTTCCTCAGTTAAAATTTTTGCAAAGGCGGTTTCAATTAGAGAGTCTTAGGAATTCTTGTTTTGAGTCTAATGGTATTTAAAGAGGAAAATTTTAAAATATTGCAGATTTCTTTGTCTTGATTCTTCTCTCAGGTTTCTAGTTGATGACTTAGCCAGGTTTTCCAAGTATTAAAATTATTTAAAATATTAAATCATACTAAATAGTTTTTTTGCCATTTTATGTAGCAAAAATGCCTAATCTACCAATGAAGGAAATTCTGTCCCACAAAATGTTAACGTCTGTGTATCTAAAGATACTGCGCAGAAAGCTTGCAAGTAAAAGGATTCTTCATTGTGCTTGCCTAACTACATAGGCTAAAAAAGCTTATGTTCAGAAAGTAGGGGAGGCAGGGCACGGTGGCTCGTGCCTGTATTCCTAGCACTTTGGGAGATCTAGTCAGGAGGATTGCTTGAGCCCAGGGGTTTGAGACTAGCCCGGACAACATGGTGAAACCAAGTCTCTTCCAAAAAAACATACAGGAATTAGCACTGTGCACCTGTTGTCCCAGCTATTTGGAAGGCTGAGATGGAAGTTCATTTGAGCCTGGGAGGTCGGTGTTGCAGTGAGCCGTGATGGCACCACTGCATTCCAGGCTGGATGACACATGATAGACCCCCAGAATTATAGATGTCATGTTTGGGAAATAAATGGAAACTTTGGCCTCTGTATTTACAATTTTATAATTTGCCATTTGGCATTGTTCTTTTCATTTGTATAGGAACCCTTTTGTTGTGTGTTCCAGATGAAGTCTGAGGCATGTTGGCAGTGTGTTTGCTAGAGCCCTTCTTTCCTGAATTTGCTTCTTTCTTCCATGTAGCTTTTCACAATGATTAAACAAATTTTAAAAATTATAATGGTACCTTATTTATCATTTTATGTCATTGAATCTATGTAGTACTATTTTAGAACTTCTGAATGTATAGAGTAGTCAGAGTAGATTCTTTAAAATGCCATTCCAGAAACTGACGATACTGGAGTAGTCAATGTGTGAATATTCATTACCTCAGCATAGGCAGTGTCTTTGTATTTACACAGGATTTATGATGATTTTTGTCTATCAAGAATTTTACCTTTTCGTTTCCTTCCCTTTTCATTGTTCTTTTTTCATCAGTGTAAACCAGAATACAAAGTACCTGGACTTTATGTTATTGACTCCATTGTGCGACAATCCAGACATCAGTTTGGTCAAGAAAAGGATGTGTTTGCACCCAGATTTAGTAATAACATCATTAGCACTTTCCAGAATTTATATCGTTGCCCTGGGGATGACAAGGTATGCTGCTGATTTTTTTGTTTGTTTGTTTTAAAGTAGATAACAGTACCCTCTTGGTCTTAATTAGTCTTCATATTATCTTAGTACAGTCATGTGCCACATAATGATGTTTCAGTGACAGACCGCATATACAGTGGTGGTCTCCTAAGATGATAATACTGTATTTTTATTTTACCATTTCTCATTTGTGTACACAAATACCATTGTGTTAAAAATACCTGCAGTATGCAGTACAGTGACATGCTGTACATGTTTGTAGTCTAGGAGCAATAGAATGTGACGTATAGTCTAGGTGTGTAGTAGGCTGTACCGTCTAGGTTTATGTAAGTACACATCACACAATGATGAAATCTGCTAATGATACCATTTCTCAGAACATATCCTTGTCATTAAGTGGCACAGGACTGTATATATCTTTATGTTCTCATTTGCTCTTAGTTATTTCAGATGTGAATATTTAATTATTACGGTGTCCATGTTCCATTTTGTTCTTTGAATTTCTTAGAGAGTACAGAAAGATGAACAGATTTGCTACTTTTTAATTTATTGAAGCAATTGGTGTTAAATAAAATGGCTAAAATAAGCTTTTGCAATTACATGAAACTTATTCACACGCAGACAGTTCGGAATTATTTGACATGAGTTGATACTTAACTGCATATTAAAATTCTTCTATTATGGTAGAATTTTGTTAATCACACTACTAAGTCTGGTATGTGTAAGATCTAAATGTGTAAATATTCTATAAATAGCAAGTAAAAAGAAAGCTTTGGATCATGAGCAGGCATGAAAAGGAGTTGCTTATCCTTTTACTTGCTCTGAGAGGTTAGCTTATTTATTTTGGATGTTGATTTGGAAATTGAGGTGTGCTTTTTCTGACAGGGTTGATTGCATTGTTGATTAAGTATGGAAAGATGAGAATAGATGAAGATTGATGTTTGTTTTATGGAAGAACCACAGAACTTCAAAGCTCACCACAAATGGTTCACCTTTATATTGAGTATAACAAGATTAAGTAGTTATTTTTCATAACTATTATATAGTCTTGAATCAGAAAAAAATCTTGTTATAATGGATAGCTATGGAGATAAATTTATTTTTTTTTTTTGAGACGGAGTCTTGCTCTTATCACCCAGGCTGGAGTGCAATGGCATGATCTTGGCTCACTGCAACCTCTGCCTCCTGGGTTCAAGTGATTCTCCTGCCTCAGCCTCCTGAGTAACTGGAATTACAGGCGCCTGCCACCACACTCTGCTAGTTGTCTTTTGTATTTTTAGTAGAGATGGGGTTTCGCCATGTTGGCCAGGCTGGTGTCAAACTCCTGACCTTGTGATCCGCCCACCGTGACCTCCCAAAACGTTGGTATTACAGGTGTGAGCCACCGCGCCCAGCTGGAGATAAATTTATTATGCTATATTCTTTGTGAACTATTCTTGGATATACTCCTCGAGACAGAAAGTTTTCGATTTTTCTTTTTAATTACCTTAGTACTTTAATAATTCTGTGCAGACAAAAGAATGCTTCTACTTTTTAAAATTTTATTTGTTTTGAGATGGAGTCTCACTCTGTCACCCAGGCTGGAGTGCAGTTGCGTGATCTCGGCTCACTGCAAGCTCCATCTCCCGGGTTCACGCCGTTCTCCTGCCTCAGCCTCCCGAGTAGCTGGGACTATAAGCGTCCGCCACCACGCCCAGCTAATTTTTTGTATTTTTAGTGGAGACGGGGTTTCACCTTGTTAGCCAGGATGGTCTCGATCTCCTGACCTCGTGATCCATCCACCTTGGCCTCTGAAAGTGCTGGGATTGTAGGCGTGAGCCACCGCGCCTGACCTAGAATGCTTCCAATTTTAAGTGACCTGTCATAATTGATTTTTAAAATAGGTACCTTAGACTCCTACTTGAAGTAATGTACTAATCTGAAATTTTATACATATATTTTTTTAGAGGTCACTTTACTTTGATTTAGAAATTTCACTAGTTTGGACTTGGATTTCAGTCAGCTCTGATGATTAAATCTTTCTTGAATGTGTAGATTTCATAATATAATATCTCATACTAGGGCTTATGGAACAGGGCTTTCTTTTAACCATAGGGGGAGAGTATAGATTAACATTGCAATCTCAGTCATAAATGAGGGACATTGTATGTAGATATATAGAATGATAGTGGTTAGGTGCTGGCCAATTTTAAAGTATATGATGGGTGGCTTGGAAACTGAAAGATTTTTATATAAAGCAGAAGAATATAAGGCATTTTCCAAGTGCTCATGTTTTAGAGTGGAGAAATAGTCAAATCAGAAAGTGTGAAGCAGTCTCTGTAATTTTCTTATGCCTCATTTGAAATACACACATTTGCACATTAATATAGTTTGGACGTAGTTTTAAAATATGTCACTGTAGTATTATGAGGGATTTAAAGATGAACGAGATCTTTATTCTGAAAATTGCTGTTTTACTTTGTAAAACATATACATTTAACAGAATGTTCTTTTTTTGTACTTGATTTTAGCCTCTGTCATTTTTTTTTTTTCCTAATGGAATAAGTGGCATCACAATAGTAGTAACTAGGTCTTAGTACTTGTTTGCAGAATAGTTATGTGCTAAACAGTTGTGAATCAGAGTGTTTGGTGATTGGTGATAGTATCAATAAAATAGTTACTACATAATAGTACATAATTGTGAATCAGATTGTTTGGTGATAGTATCAAGATAGTTATTACATAATAACTGTTATGCTTTTATTAGTGATAATATGAATTCAGGATATTGTTACTCTTGACGTGTGTGCTCTGAGTGAAATGTTTATTTTCAGAAGCAAGGTATAATAGATGGAACTGCTGATCCTTCTTATAAAATACTGTAGAACATCTTGAGACATTATTTTTCACTGGGCATATTTTTCTGCCTGTAAGTTTGAAACTTTCAGGATATGTAAAACTTTAATACAACCAAGGGAGACATATAAGTAGGAATTTTTCTAGTTACCAAGTTTTCTCTAAATACTGCTAATTATGTTACTAGATTTCAGAATTAACCAAGAAGTAGAAGTCACTAATAACTAGTCTTTTCAAGTTTATGATACGCAGAGTATAACAAGAGACAGGCAGTAGGTAAATAGAATTTCCCAACGAAATAGATTTTCATATGAAATGACTGAGATTAGGGTATAAGTAATTAAACAGAAGTACATTATAGTATTGCTATAAGAAGAGCTGTAACTAACAAAGCGTATATCTCCCTCCCAAGGTGCTCAAAATTTGAGAGTGGCTAGACATTTAAAATACTAGCCAGCTTAAACAGTCTAATACAGTTTGGAGATTGAGAAAAGGGACCTGAGAATCCTTCTGGTATACTGTCTTATTTTATAAATGAGGATACTAAGGTTTTTTTTGTTTTTTTTTTTTTTTAATGTTGGTTGAGACCAAGATCAGCAGCAACGTTATATAGATCATAAATATTTCATGAATTTTATAGCAGCTGCATAAATATTATATGACTGACTGGAACCTTACAAAAAATACGAAGAACTCTGACTATTTGAGTAATCCAGAAAGAGGTTGACACTAAAACAAAAATGTGATTTATTTGGTGGTAAAATGATTAGAGTGTGGGTTGGGATGGGCATTGTTGAGACTCTTTATGAGGAATATAAAATAGGATGCAGTGCTGTGGTTCAGGGGCATATCAAGAAGAGAAAATGAGATGGTTCAAGATGTCAAAGTCTGCTTGCCAGTAGCAAGCACGTTTTTTATGTTTGTTTTTTTTTTAATTTACAAAATGGTAAAGGACTCAAATTTTAGGAAATGAAATAATGTAGAACATTATTCATACGGAGCATGATTCATCATTCTGAGGGCCAGATTAAGTAATGCCAGTATGACACTGACATTCTGCAAGGGGAAAGGGAACAGGAAAGAATAAATAAAAGAGGGAATGAAGAGAGAAGAAATGGTTAAGCTTCATATTCTGTCTGTACAGAAGTTTGTCCATCTCTGGTTCAAAGTGTCAGTAGGGAATTAGCATTCATGGCAGGATGCTCAAAAAAGGAAGTAATTTGATTAAATTCTTCCATGAGGAAATGCCCTCTCCTCAAGTAGTTTGTAAAATGAAACTTTTTGAAAGTCACATTAGATAAGGAGTTTGTACTACAAGTTACCTGTTTGTTCAAAAGTTAGACATTGTGTAAGACAAAGTTAAAATCAACTATAAATATAACGTTAGTACTGAGATGAATCCTGGCTCACCCTCAGAATACTTAAGACAGGTCTCCAGCCAGTGTTACCATCCATATCATTAGAAGTGACATAAGAGAGGAAGCCTAGATGTCATCTCTGCCTTCAACTAAATGGAACTTTCATTTAATTTGCATGTCTATCAGCATTAACATGTTTTTAAAGCACCTTAAGGTAGCAAATACAAAATGATAGAAACATAGAATTTTAGGGCTAGAAAGTACCATTGAGGTATTGTTAATTTCTCCTTTCCATCCAGGGCCCAGATAGCCTCTATGAAATGACTGTACTAAGGTTTTGAGAGCAAAAAACAAAATGTCATGTTTCTTTTTTTCTCTAGAGTAAAATAGTGAGAGTACTAAACTTATGGCAGAAGAATAATGTATTTAAGAGTGAGATTATTCAGCCTCTTTTGGATATGGCAGCTGGGATTCCACCTCCTGTTGTCACACCTGTTTTGGCCAGCACTACCACTGCTATGAGCAATACTCCAGGTATGTTGCTTTATTATAGATTTGTTGTCTAAATATTCTACTCATACTTTTTGGATGACTGTTCATGTAAAAAATAATTCGACAGTGCAGGAAAATTTGTCCAGCATTAGATAATTGAAAGAAAATATTTGTAGAGAAAAATAAAATTAGATATTATATTTGTATGTAATTATTTCTAAAATGTAGAAAACTAATTTTCTTTTAATTCACAGAAACATAAATACAATGAACCTTAGAAATTTGGTGTGTCAGTTAGGTTTTTCCTGATTTAGGTTGTCTGTAACTTCTTATACTTGGATTTGTATCAACTTGGTATTTATAGGATACTAGGGGGATTTAATATTTTTTAAAGAAACCCTGAAATAATTATTTAACAAAACCAAAATTTCAAAATCATGTTCTCTTGAGGCATTTAAATGACTATGATAAAAGTTTTTATCATAGTTCCAGCCCTGCGCAGTGACTTAACACCTGTAATCCTAGCACTTTGGGAGGCCGAGGCAGGCAGATCGCCTCAGGTCAGGAGTTGGAGACTAGCCTGGCCAATATGGTGAAACTCTGTCTATATTAAAAATAAAAAAATTAGCTGGGTGTGGTAGCAGGCGCCTCTAATCCAAACTACTGGGGAGGCTGAGGCAGGAGAATCACTTGAACCCAGGAGGTGGAGGTTGCAGCGAGGCGAGATCGCGTGCCGTTGTACTCCAGCCTGGGCAACAAGAGTGAAACTCTGACTCAAAAAAAAAAAAAATTTTTTTTTTAAAAATCATAGTTAATTAAATTGGTTAGCATTTCGTATATATTTTGTGTGTGTGTGTGTGTGTGTGTGTGTGTGAACAAAAATTGATGTATTGTTTATTGAGACCTTGTGCTGTCACCCAGGCTGGTGTGCAGTAGTGTGATCATAGCTCACTGCAGCTTCAACCTCCTGGGCTCTAGTGATCCTCCCATCTCAGCCTCCTAAGTAGGTAGGACTACAGGCATGCACTACCATGCCTGGCCAATTTTTTGTTGTTGTTGTTGGAGATGGAGTTTTGGTGTGTTGCCCAGGCTGGTCTCGAGCTGCAGGGCTCAAGCGGTCCTCTTGCCTTGGGCTCTGAAAGCATTGGGATTACAGGCGTGAACCACCGTACCTGGCCCAAACATGGTTTTATGTTATGTATACTTATCATAAAAATTTTTTATTGAAGATTGTATTTTGAGTATTTCCTCATGTTACTGAATTTTTGTCTCTAAAGTAAGATTTTTAATGGCTGTTAAGTATTGTAGGCTTTTTAAAAGTACAGTAGTCTCCTCACATCCAGTTTTGCTTTCCATGATTTCAATTACTTGCAGTCAACCACAGTCTGAAAATAGGTGAGTATAATACAATAAGATACTTTGACAGATAGAGAAAAAGAGGGAGAGACCATATTCACATAAGTTTTTTCACAGTATAGTTTATTAGTTATTGTTGTTGCTAATCTATTATTGTTGCTTACTGTACCTAATTTATAAGTTAACCTTTATCATAGGTATATGTGAACATACAGAAAAAAACATAGCATATATAGGGTTTGGTGCTAGCTCTGGTTTCAGGGATCCACTGGAGTTCCTGGAACACTATCTCCCAAGCGTAAGTGTGGACACTGTAGTAACTGAGTTAATTGAGGAGGACAAATTTGGACAGATCCTTTCTGGATCTCTGTGTGTGTTTAACCTACCTAATTCTGTAAAGGATTTTAAGTGATTTTTCAAAGTGGACACAATAAAATAAAAACTTAATATGTGTGCATGTATTTTATAAAAGTAATAAATTCTGCTTTTTCAAGTCTTAGTTTTTTACTTATTTATTTATTTGGGGAGTGTGATGTTCTTTTTTAAAGGAACTCCTGTGACACCTGTTACTCCGGCCAATGTGGTCCAAGGCTTACCTGATCCGTGGGTATCTCAGATAACAAATACAGATACACTCGCGGCTGTGGCTCAGATCTTGCAAAGTCCTCAAGGCCAGCAGGTGAGCAGTTTTTCTGTTATGTCAAGAATGATTTAGAATTTAGTATTTTCCTGATGTATTACTTTGTAACATACCACCTAGAGAATATGTGTTTTTTTTAGTTTTATAAAAATGGGACCATTATGTATACTTTGTTACTTGCTTAAGTCATTTAATAGTGCATCATGAATGCTTTCATGTCATTAAAAATTACTTTATAAAAAATTTATTCTGTACCAAAATATGGAATTAGCACATAGTTTTGCCAAATATTATTAGATGCTATCACACTCCAGTAACAAGACAGGAGTCGTATCTTAGAGAAGACCTCCTATCTTAAGGGGGACAGATGGTAAAAAAAAAAATATGACAAAATTATCGTAGGTAGTGATTAGTGACATTAAGAAAAGGTAAATCTATAGTGACTCAATTTGGGGGAAGGGGTCAGGAGTAGAGAGGGTAGCCAGCAGGAGGTGTATTTGAGGAAGTGACATTTGAATCAAGACTTCAAATGGACTAGTCACGGCGGGACAGGAGGATAGGAAATAGAATTCCAAGTATAGAGGTCCTCAGATGGGAAGCAATGTGGTGTATTGTAGGAATAGAAGAAGACTTCTGTGGCTAGAACTTCTGGAATAGAGGGGAATCACACAACGTGTACGAATTGATTCGAGGAATGAGAAAGATTGCTGTCTTTATAATAATCAAGTTTTTCTGTTGTATGTATACATATACTTTTATTGTTTAAATCTTTTATCTCTCGTAAGCTTTGTAGCTCTTTTAATGTAGATTCTTCACATTTCTTAGATTTATTTCTATGAATATAGTTGAATAGATTGGATTTTTATAGTTAATACCAGTTTCTCTTAGTTTTCAGCTGATTTTCTTTCATTTTCCAGTTATATTATTTGTAACTAATGATAATTCTGTGTCCTCAGTTTAAGTACTTATATATAGTTTTCTTAATGTATTGCACTAAGTTCTGGAAGAGATCATAGTAGAAATAATGATAGTATACTCATTGTTACTTTTTTCAGACTCAAATAGAAATATCCCGTTTTTGTCCCACTATGATGTTGGTTTTGTTTCGAGATATGTGTTCTCTGTGAGGGACATATTCTGCTTTTTCTACATGATAGTGTTTTATGGGACTTTGATTTAAAATTTTATTAGTGGATATAATAGTATGGTTTTTCGATTACTAGACTTTATTATAATGATTCAGCATTGCAGTCCTGTGTACACACACACACACACACAGACACATTTTTTCTCTCTCTCTTTCTCTTACTTTCAAATTCACACTATCCTTTGAGGTAGTACATTTAGATATTCTGTAATTTTTGTTTTGCTTTGAAGTGTTAACTATTTCACAACTAGTTTCTATTTGCAACAATTTTGCAGCTCTACTGAGATGGGTCCCTAGTTTTTATCACCTTATTCTATTTTTAAATCAGGATTATTACTTGCTTTCTGAGATCAATTTAGAAATGGTTACCTTTTTCTGTCTTGTGTGCAGTACAACCTGATTACTTCCTGCCTCTGGAAGGTTTGGATGAACTTAATCAAAAAGCCTTTAGGGGCTAGGCCCGGTAGCTCACACTCATAATCCCAGTACTTTGGGAGGCCCATGTGGGTGGATCACTTGAGGCCAGGAGTTCAAGACTAACCGGGCCAACATGGTGAAACCTCTGTCTCCTAAAAACACAAAAATTAGCTGGGCATGTTGGCACATGCCTGTAATCCCAGCTACTTAGGAGGCTGAGGCAGGAGAATCACTTGAACCTGAGAAGTGGAGGTTGCAGAGAGCCAAGATCATGCCACTGCACTCTAGCCTGGGTGACAGAGTGAGACTCAAAAAAAAAAAAAAAATCTCCAACAAGACAAAACCGAACCCACAAATCCCTCTAGGGTTTGGTGTGTTCTGGGAGATTAATTTTTGATAGCATTTTTCAGTTCTTTTTTGGTTATTTGTATTCACTTACCCTACCTTTCCTGAATAAACGTTATTATAAATATTACGATTAGAAACCATCTATTTTGTTTTTCGTAGTTGTACGTAATTTTTTTAAAAACTAACTTTGGCATGCACATCTCACTTTGTGTTGTATTTTTGCTCATTTTAGATTTAGGTTTATTGAAGTTTATGCTTACTTTTTATTTTTCTGTTACTACCCTGGTTCTTCATTTTTGGACTGTTGATATACTCTTCTAAATAGCTTTTGATCCCTTTTTGATCCGTCATTTTAATTCTTTGCAAGATTAATCTTTATCAATGATGGTTTTTGTGGTTTTTTTGTGGTTTTTTTTTTCTCCTTTTGAGACGAAGTCTCGCTCTGTCGCCCAGACTGTAATACAGTGGCGCGATCTCGACTCACTGCAACCTCTGCCTCCCAGGTTCAAGTGATTCTCCTGCCTCAGCCTCCCGAGTAGCTGGGACTACAGGCGCCCGCCACCACGCTCGGCTAATTTTTGTATTTTTAGTAGAGATGGGTTTCACCGTGTTAGCCAGGATGGTATCAATCTCCTGACCTTGTAATCTGCCCGCTTCTGCCTCCCAAAGTGCTGGGATTACAGTCGTGAGTCACCATGCCCAGCCTGTCAGTGATCTTGTATGTCTTAAACTTATGCTCAGGAACATGCAATAATTACGTTATCATACATAGAAGAAAATCCAACTTTGTGGTATTTAGAGTTATTCTCAATGTAACCTGTTATTTTTTTCTAACACTTTTCATTATTTAGATTACAAAGTTTCATAGATTTCTCTAAATTAATGCAAGTATTCTCTTGGCTTGTGTTGCACTCCCTTTTACTTTATCATCTACTTCTCCAATTTTCATACGTCTCATCCTTCCTTCACTATTCAAATCAAACTACAATTTTTTAGAGTTTGTTTGGTCTCTGAAGTCCAGTGATACTGTATCACTTCATTGGTTGTTTTTCATTCCCTCAACTTTCAGCAAACATTCACTGTGACCTGCAGTGTTTGAGGCACTGTACCTTGTTCCGGAGTATACAAGATAAAAAACATTCTCTGGCCTCTGGAAGCCTAAAGTTTAATAATCAAGGCTAATTGGAATACATAAATGTAATTAAATTTAAAATTAATAAGAATCATGGGAGAAGTTTAGAAAAGAAGGGCTTTGGAAATTCAGAACTAGAGATAATACTTTGACTTGAACAGTTGGTTCAGGAAAGTTCTGTTGTACAGATGACAATTGAATTTGTTTTTAAAGGGTGAGTAAGAACTGGATACTGAGGATGAGCTACATAAACAGAGACAATTGAGAGTAAACAATGAATTATCAGTCTTTCATACAAAACCTGCTCCACCTACATCTTCATCTCAGTTAATGGAAATGCGATTTTTCCATTTGCTCGTACCCGAAAGCTTAAGAGTCATCCTTGATTCCTTTCTTCCCTTTGTTCTTCAGATCCAATCTGTTAAGAAATCCTCTGCCTTCAGAATATATTCTGAATCACTAACTCACCACCTCTATCACTAGTTCCTAGAATCAAGCCACCATCATTTCTTACCTAGTTCATTGCAGAAACCTCTTAATGGGGCTTCCACCCTTACCCCACAACAGTCTGTTCTCAATACTGCCGGTAGCATGACCCTTTTCATACCTGAGAGTTCATGCAACTCCTCTGCTCAGAATCCTCCAGTGGCTCCCTGTCTCACTCAGAGTAAAAGCCCAAATTGTTTTGTTTGTTTGTTTTTGAGACAGGATTTTGCTTTGTCACTCAGACTGGAGTGCAGTGGTGCAGTTGTATTTCACTGCATCTTTGAACTCCTGGGCTGAAGCGATCCTCCCACCTCAGCCTCCCAGGTAGCTGGGACTACACCTGTAGCCACCAAGCCTGGTCAATTTTTTATTTTTATTTTATTATTTTTTGAGACGGAGTCTTACCCTGTCATCCAGGCTGGAGTGCAATGGCGCTGTCTTGGCTCACTGTAACCTCCGCCTCCCAGAGTGATTCTCCTTCCTCAACCTCCCAAGTAGCTGAGATCACAGGCATCCACCACCACACCCAGCTAATTTTTGTATGTTTAGTAGGTATGGGGTTTCACTGTGTTGGCCAGGCTGGTGTCAAACTCCTGACCTCAGGTGATCCGTCCACCTCAGCCTCCCAAAGTGCTGGAATTACAGGCATGAGCCACTGTGCCCAGTCAATTTTTTATTTTTATATAGAGACAGGATGTGACTATGTTGCCCAGGCTGATCTCGGACTCCTGGCCTCAAGCAGTCCTCTCACCTGTGCCTCCCATGTCAATGGGATTACAAGCAGGAGCCATCGCGCCTGCACTAAAAGCACAAATTTCAGCAATCACTTCATTGGTGCTTGTATGTTCTCAGTTTGATCTGTTGTTACCTTCCCGACATTTTCTGTCCCCCAGTTCATAGACTTCTCTAACTAATAGTAAGACTTGCTTATGTTGCCCATCCCTACCCTGGTTTTATATTATCCTTTGCTTCGCTTTCTCACCTCTTTCTCCTGTGACCTGTTCTATCCTTTTTGTTATTTCTTATATCAGCTACCTGTAATCCTGCCCCAAGATCTCTGCATTTGATGTCTTTGATACTGAAAACCCACTTTCCTCATCTATTCATATGCTTTCATCTCTTGTAAGTCTTTGTTTAAATGTCACTTTAATAAGGCCTTCAGTGACTGCTATTTATTTAGAGACAGGTTCTTGCTCTGGCACCCAGGCTGGAGTGTAATGGAGCAATCTCAGCTCATTGCAACTTCTGCCTCCCGGGTTCAAGCAGTTCTTTTGCCTCAGCCTCCTGAGTAGCTGGGATTACAGGCATCTGCTACCACACCCAGCTAATTTCTGTATTTTTAGTAGAGATGAGGTTTCACATTGTTGGCCAGGCTGGTCTTGAACTCCTGACCTCAAGTGATCCACCCACCTCAGTCTCCCAAAGTGCTGGGATTATAGACGTGAGCCACCCTGCCCGGCGGTGACTGCTATTTAAAACTGTAAACTCTACCTCTCATTCTTTACACTCCTGTTCACTCTCGCCTCTGCTTGCTGCTTTCCTTAGCACTTACTACCCTCTGTTATGTTATATAATTACTTGGTTTTTTTTCTACCTCTTCCCACTGGAATGTATGCTAAACTAGGGCAAGAATTTTTTGTGGTGGTTGACTGCTGCCTCTTCAATGTCTAGGTTGTAGATGGTGTTCAATATGTTTTTTGTGGAATGAATGAAAGATGTACAGAAGCATTACAGTGTTGGATATACAAAGGATATTGTGGAGTTGAGTTTTGTTTGAAAGAAAAGAAAGTCTGTGTAAGCTATTAATGGCAGACTTAAGTGTGACTTGGGTTGTGAAAACTATACATGGTGGGGTCAAAAATAAAGGATTCATTTGCTAAGCAATGGGAAATCACCAGGGACTTTTTGTGTTGAAGTCACATGATCTTAACAGTACCTCACATGGATTAGAGAGAGGAGAAGTCTAGAGACAGAATATCTTTCTTTTGGTAGTAGTGGTTTTGTAAAGGAGGGTAATGATTATGAAAAATAGTAAGGTTGTATACTTTCTGAAAATACAATCTCAAAAACGTGGGGCCATTCTAGACTTAAAAATATTTTAGAAAACCAGTATGAACTCTTAGGCTGAATCTATTTTCTGCATTTTTGAGACAATTGGGAAACTGAATATTAACTGGGTATTAGATGAAATTATAGAATTAGTAATTTTATTTTGTGGTAATATTTTGGAAACTGTTCATAAAGCAAGTCTTCTTATTTTAAAATATGCCTATTAAAATAAATATTTTTGAAAGGAGAAGCAGCTTTGAAAGGAATAGTATAGAGTCAGTAAGACAGTAATTGATAGACTGCGAAGTCAGAGAAAGAAAATTGGGTACTGCAGTGGTTTTTTACCTGGGTAACCAAAAGAATAACAGTGCCATTGGGAAAAATAGAGATGTCAAAAGGAGCAGTTAAAAAGTGTAAAGGGGAAATATGGTGTTTCTGTCATTTTAGTAGTTTTAGATGCAGAAAAGGCCTTTGACAAAATTCAACAGCGCTTCATGCTAAAAACTCTCAATAAATTCGGTATTGTTGGAACGTGTCTCAAAATAATAAGAGCTATTTATGACAAACCCACAGCCAATATCATACTGAATGGGCAAAAACTGGAAGCATTCCCTTTGAAAACTGGCACAAGACAGGGATGCCCTCTCTCACCACTCCTATTCAACATAGTGTTGGAAGTTCTGGCCAGGGCAATCAGGCAAGAGAAAGAAATAAAGGGTATTCAGTTAGGAAAAGAAGTAGTCAAATTGTCCCCGTTTGCAAATGACATGATTGTATATTTAGAAAACCCCATCGTCTCAGCCCAAAATCTTCTTAAGCTGATAAGCAACTTCAGCAAAGTCTCAGGATACAAAATCAATGTGCAAAAATCACAAGCGTTCTTATACAGCAGTAACAGACAAACAGAGAGCCAAATCATGAATGAACTCCCATTCACAATAGCTTCAAAGAGAATAAAATACCTAGGAATCCAGCTTACAAGAGATGTAAAGGACTTCTTCAAGGAGAACTACAAACCACTGCTCAGTGAAATAAAAGAGGACACAAACAAATGGAAGAACATACCATGCTCATGGAGAGGAAGAATCAGTATTGGGAAAATGGCCATACTGCCCAAGGTAATTTATAGATTCAATGCCATCCAAAAACTGCTTTAAAGTTCATATGGAACTAAAAAAGATCCCTCATTGCCAAGGACAATCCTAAGCCAAAAGAACAAAGCTGGAGGCATCACGCTACCTGACTTCAAACTATACTACAAGGCTACAGTAACCAAAACAGCATGGTACTGGTACCAAAACAGAGATGTGGACCAATGGAACAGAACAGAGCCCGCAGAAATAATACCACACATCTACAGCCATCTGATCTTTGACAAACCTGACAAAAACAAGAAATGTGGAAAGGATTCCCTATTTAATAAATGGTGCTGGAAAAATTGGCTAGCCATAAGTAGAAGCTGAAACTGGATCCCTTCCTTACGCCTTATAGGAAAATTAATTCAAGATGGATTAGAGACTTAAATGTTAGACCTAAAACCATAAAAACCCTAGAAGAAAACCTAGGTAATACCATTCAGGACATAGACATGGGTAAGGACTTCATGTCTAAAACACCAAAAGCAATGGCAGCAAAAGCCAAAATTGACAAATGGGATCTAATTAAACTAAAGAGCTTCTGCACAGCAAAAGAAACTACCATCAGAGTGAACAGGCAACCTACAGAATGGGAGAAAATTTTTGCAATCTACTCATCTGACAAAGGGCTAATACCCAGAACCTACAAAGAACTCAAACAAATTCACAAGAAAAAAGCAAACAACCCCATCAAAAAGTGGGCAAAGGATATGAACAGACACTTCTCAAAAGACGACATTCATACAGTCAACAGACACATGAAAAAAATGCTCATCAGTGGCCATCAGAGAAATGCAAATCAAACCCCAGTGAGTTACCGTCTCACACCAGTTAGAATGGCAATCATTAAAAAATCAGGAAACAACAGGAGCTGGAGAGGATGTGGAGAAATAGGAACACTTTTACACTGTTGGTGGGACTGTAAACTAATTCAACCATTGTGGAAAACAGTGTGGCGATTCCTCAAAGATCTAGAACTAGAAATACCATTTGACCCAGCCATCCCATTACTGTGTATATACCCAAAGGATTATAAATCATGCTGCGATAAAGACACATGCACACACATATGTTTATTGTGGCACTATTCACAATAGCAAAGACTTGGAATCAACCCAAATGTCCATCAATGACAGACTGGATTAAGAAAATGTGGCACATATACACCATGGAATACTATGCAGCCATAAAAAAGGATGAGTTCGTGTCCTTTGTAGGGACATGGATGCAGTTGGAAACCATTCTCAGCAAACTATCACAAGAACAGAAAACCAAACACGGCATGTTCTCACTCATAGGTGGGAATTGAACAATGAGATCACTTGGATACAGGAAGGGGAGCATCACACACCGGGGCCTATTGTGGGGAGCGGGGAGGGGGGAGGGATAACATTAGAAGATATACCTAATGTAAATGACGAGTTAATGGGTGCAGCATACCAACATACCACATGTATACATATGTAACAAACCTGCACATTGTGCACATGTACCCTAGAACTTACAGTATATATATATATATATATTTTTTTTTTTTTAAAAGAAGTTTCTTTGTAATTCTCTCCACCCTTGAGAATGCACTTGGTGAATACATGTTTCACCCCCTGCCCCCAATACATGGCTCTTAACTTCACCGCCTATCCCAAAATCTATAAGAACCAATGATAATCCCACCACCTTTTGCTGACTCCTTTTTCCGACTCAGCCCGCCTGCCCCCAGGTGAAATAAACAACCATGTTGCTCGCACAAAGCCTGTTTGGTGATCTCTTCACATGGATGTGTGAAACAGTCCTCAAGGAATAATCTCACCCTAGTAAGCTACAGAGAAACCCTACACACACACCCCAAACAGTGCAGAAAGTGCAATAAATCTTACAATACAAATAAAAAAAAAAAGAAAAGAAAATGTTTAGTTGATAGTGAAGTGACTAGTTTGTTTCCTAATGTTACTAAGTAGGCATGAAAGTACTTCCGTGTCATCTTACATAGTTTTTGTGTCTTCTCCTCCTAGAAGTTGAACTTGAAGAGTACAGTTGTCTTGGTTATCAGTAGCTTTGCTGTCTTTATTTTTCTCTTTTAAACTAATGATTTTTGGATTTAACTCAGGCTTATAACCAGATTGATTATCATTTATTTCTGGGATGTATATAGGATTTTCTTACTTAGGGAATCTCTTAATGATCTTACTGTTGTGTCTGTTTTTTAACAGGGTTGGGTACATAGTGGGAACAAGAGTTGCCTTCAACTCTAGGTGACGCTTTATTATTAATAACTAGTTGCCAGACTCTACTCTGAGAAACAGATTTCTTAATGACTCTCCAGCTTTCAGGAAATACGTGCTCAGATGGTAATTCTGAATAATAGCAAAAGCTGCTGCTATTTTCAGTACTCATCCTTTTACTGAGTTTAAAGAGTTGATTGAACAAGGTTGAGAAGTTTAGTGAAAAATGTGTCAGCTTGTGATGAGTTCTTTATCTGGTTGTCACAGATCCCTTTATTTTGTTTAAAATTCCCTGACTTTCCAGAAGTAAGACAAACTTATTAAGAACTGTGTTATATAAGGTACACAAAAAAACTTCAAAAAAATTAACTTATTAATAGTATGTATTTTTTTCAAAGAGAGTGTGGAATGATTAATTTTACTGACTAAAAACTTTTAGGTGGTCACTCTTACAGAAAAAACCCAGCACCTGTTTTGTAATATACTTTTTTTTCTCTCCAGCTTCAACAATTAATACAAACCTTACAGATACAACAACAGAAGCCCCAGCCTTCCATTCTGCAGGCCCTAGATGCTGGTCTTGTTGTTCAGTTGCAAGCTCTTACGGCACAACTTACAGCTGCAGCTGCGGCTGCCAACACTCTTACTCCCTTAGAACAGGGAGTCTCCTTTAACAAGGTAGAAATTAAAATATCAGATCAAGTCTATATGAATTATTAAATATATACTAGCATATGAATTTTAATTCTATAAGTAAATTTTATTATAGACTTTTAATATCCCCTGTACACTGTGTAAGACAGTCTGAATTTCACAAAAGGTTCAAACTTCTGAAAAAATTAAGTAATTAAAAAAATTTTTCTTAGGCCAGGCACAGTGGCTCACACCTGTAATCCCAGCCCTTTGGGAGGGCAAGGCAGGCGGATCATTTAAGGCCAGGAGTTTGAGACCAGCCTGGCAAACATGGTGAAACCCAAATTAGCCAGGTGGTGCATGCCTATAATCCCAGCTATTGGGGAGGCTGAGGCAGGAGAATTGCTTGAACCTGGGAGGTAGAGGTTGCAGTGAGCCGAGATTGAGCCAGTATGCTCCAGCTTGGGTGACAGAGCAAGACTCTTGCCTTAAAAAAAACAAAAAAAAATTGTTTTTTTTTTTTTCTTGAAACATTTAAAATATTTTCATTTGACTAAAAATAACTAGTCAGTAAAATCTGGTATTCACCATTGAGGCAAGTGATTATTTTCTGAACTTGTTTGATTTCTTTCATGGATGCCACATTTTACTATAATGCTCTGTGTTCTGTAATTTGGACCTGCAAAAGTTAAAGTTCTGTAATCAATATGTAAAATGTTTAAAGGAAAACTTCTCTACAGTTAGTCGCTAGACTATAACTATAATAAATAGATGCCTAAATGTAAAAGATAGTGTTTCTAAAACTTAAAATCTTTCATGTATAATTTAGCGTGTGATATTCTTAGTATGCTTATTAATTATGGGAGTATCATACTGCTTGGAAGTGGTGTTCATATTTTTAAAATTGGTACTTTTATTTTTATAGGAAAGTAAATACTGATTTATTGGATTATTACTTAGACGTTTATGGCCAGCAGCTTCCAAGTCTAATTTAGTCTAACACTAAATAGCTAGACTACATAAAAAGCCTTTAAATTGAGCATTCAGAAGAATAACAGCATTCTAAGATGAAAACCATACTAGGAATAGATCCATTGATTATGGCCGTAGATGTTTTATCAAGCTTATTACTGTGGGAAAACCACCTAATTGTGTTAATCCTTAGTCTTCTGTAAAATTTGAGTATTAGTGTTTATCCTGCCTCTATCATAATTTGTTTTGTTACATAAGATAATGCATATCAAAATGCTTTAAAGAAAAGATCTCAAAACAGTTTATAATAGTATAGAGTGATACAAAACTTGTATTTACATATTAAATGATAGAGATAATGGAATGCCATTGACATTTAAAATAGCATTTATAACATATTTGTGTGAAGCACTTTTTAATACGCCCGTTTCTCCTTCTTTCCCCAGAAGTTGATGGATAGGTTTGATTTTGGGGAAGATTCTGAGCATAGTGAAGAACCCAAAAAAGAAATTCCAACTTCACAACTGTAAGAATTTTTTTCTTTATAGCCATAGGTTTTATATTGGGTGGGATGTTGCCATCTGAATTACTAAGTGTACTTAGTAAGTTGGGGGTTATTATCTCAAGCTGTTGAACCTCTAACATTATACAATGGGGGTAGAGATATGTCTTGTTGTCTCTTTGTATTATTTTGAGTCTTTTCTCAGATCTTTGCAAATAGACTGTATCAAAGTTCCCTATAAGAACATTGATACACATTGGTAAATCTGGTTGTAGTATTTTCTGTATTAGGCTTTAAGTTATTTAACTTAATTGTAAGAGTGGTTGGAATACTAGGAATGAAGCTTGCTTCTAGTGCCAAAGGCGACTTCTAGAAAGCATATGAAATTGTGGGAACACATCAACCTAATCGGAATTAAGGATTGGAGTTATAAGGATTTTTTTTTTTTTTTGGTAAAGAAATGTGTTGTATGTTTTTATTAAATCAGTTACTTTTTTTCCCTAAACAATTCTGCAGTGCCCAAAGTTCTGTGAGGGTATGTGAATGGACTAGTAGCGGGGAGATGTTGGAGGGGGCAGTGGTAGAAGTTGGGAGAATGGAGGAAGGATGAATGGTGAAAGTCTGTGGGTCTGTTGTTTTAAACAGAAGTTCTTAGTTGTATATATTGGGGTAATATACAAAAACATACAATTTTAAAATATGTTAAATACAAATGTATCATTTTAGTAAAATGATTCCCCTTGACAAAATTTAAAAACTAGATTTTAGATTATGAATTGCAAAGTTGGAAGCAGCATTTGAAATCATGTTGATCAGTGTCCTAAACAATGTAAGAATCTCCTTTAACAGTCCTGGTGGTACAGTTTATTATCCACTATTTTAATGCTTTCTGTGATGAGAAGTTAACTAATTGTTATTGTGTATTCTTTTGTCGAACTGAATCCTGTTTCCTTTATTTTCTGTTAATACACACTGACCCACGTTTTGCTCTCTGAAGCAAGGAAACAAATTTACTCCGCTATCTTTAGAGATGTAGCTTTTCATTATTTGAAGATAGGTATCATTCTTCCCCTTAGGTTTATTTGCTCCAGATGAAGTACACTTTTTTCCAACTGTTTCAAGACTTCTCACCATCCTGTTTGGCTCTTTTGGGATGCCCTCTTTATTGTTAATGTCTTACCTTGTGGCACCCAGAATCCCAGGTGTATACCAGGTGTGAATTTCTGAGAATATAGTTAAACTATTATTTTTTCTTATTTAAACAGTGTCTACCTCTGTTAACATACCTAATAATGTATATGGTTTTCTAAAGGAAGAATATTAGTTTTATAAATTTTATGGTCAATTACAATGGTAGATTTCACACATACTGATAGACTATTTTTCTATCTCATAGTAAGAGAAGGAGTTAAAGTAACAATGTTTAAATATTTAAACTTTATGTAAATATTTTATTGAGGTTTTCTTAATATGCTCTAATGAAAAAGCAGTAATTTACATGTATTTAATAGCATGAGATGGTAATATCAGATCTTCAGCAGAGCATCTCTGACACATTATCCATCTATTGATATACAATTGAAGAATGTATTTTTCTTTTAATGTATTAATGTTCTCAAGTATTGTACTTTTAGTATTAAAATTGCAAAAGAAAAATGCAGTAGAATATGTTTTATTGAATTGACTTTTTTGTTTTCTTTGAATACTCTGTTATTTTCATAGTATCTTGACTGGGTTTCAAAATATGTTTCTACCTGTTTTTCCTTTTAGTTCTCACGTTTCAGAATCTGTGAACAATTCCATTTTTCATCAGATAGCAGAACAACTACAACAGCAAAACCTAGAACATCTCAGACAGCAGCTCTTGGAGCAGCAACAGCCTCAAAAGGTTTATAACCCCATCTTGTGGTCTTTAGAGTTATTACTATTTATATTCTATAAATTGGCATTTTTGTTGGTTGGCTTTTTTTTTTTTAATTGGTCTTAATAGAGTATTTTCTCAGCTATTTAGCTTTTACCAGCTACTTTTATTTCTTTCTAAAGTTTGTTATGGTGATATTTTTTCAACTATTGTTAGTAAGATCTATTTTTTTCAGGACCTTTATGGTTTTTTCTATAATCAAATTATGTTCTGGTAACTTATGAATCTACATTGTAGAAGTTAATTTCAGTATACTGGAAGTAGAGAATAGGATGGAGGGGGTTTCAGAATTACCACTTAAAACTTAACGTGTTTTTCTCTCTGTTCCCTATCAAGCAAGTTGATGGTTATGTTCTTGGTGACAATGATGATGGCCATGTAGATTATTTTTAATTTTTAAAACGTAATTGCTGTTAGCATGTAGCAGGAGCTTTATTAGGTATGTGGTAGGCTTGGATACGTTTAACCCTCAGGAGATGGGCATTATGACTCCCATTTTATTCCAGAGGAAGTTGATTGTATTCCAGAGGAAGTTGAAGCTGGGTGAGATTAAACATCTCATGCAGCAGTTTACAGCTAATGTTATATATTATCTGACTTAAAACGTGCTGTTATTTTATGCATAGCTAAGAATTTTAAGACATCAATAACTAAATGTAACATCCTTTTGAGTTGTAAGGATCCTTTAAGTTTATCTTACAAATTTGATAATCATTGACAAAATGTTGTACTTTAGAATTGATAAAATATGTTAAGTTGTAGAGCCAGTATTAAATTTATTACAAATCCTTTTTCTGCTGTACGTGAGAAATAGTTACGCGTGTAAACTGTTCAGAATAAAAGTATTAGGAAACCCCCTCTCCCTCCCCAGCATACTTCTTCCTAATATTAAAAAAGTTTTGGCATTAATGAGTTTAACAAAAATATCACAAAATTTTTTTAAGTGTATGTCACTTGTTAGGCAAGTGTTACATACAAAGATGAACAGAAATGAGGTTGTGGCATCAGGTAACCTCTTCTCTAATGGAGCACATACATCTGTGTGAACACCTGGCAGAATTCTTTATTTTTGTCATAGGGGGACAAGTGAAGGATTCTGGGAGCATGGAGGAGGGAACAGTTATTTTAGATGGAGAAGATAGCAAACTTGAGACATTGGGGTCTGAACTTGACCTTTTAATGCAAACAGTAATATAAAATGGATGTTAATGATATTTGCTGTGTTGGGACTCATGCCTCGAATTATGAGAATGGAATTTCATACCTTTTTTTGAGGAAACAATTCTGATATAAGTGGCCAGAGTAGGGGCAGTATTTTATGTCAAGCAAATATATCTGCCTGAGAACCCAGAAGTTGAAGATAGAACACAATTAAGAACATTTAGCTGTTGTTTAAAGAAAAAGCAAAGTTGTAACTCAAAACAAACAGGTCATCAGTGATATAATAATACAAAAATCACAGAACTGTTAAGAGAGGCAGGGGATAGTCGTGATGGAAGAATTTATCCAAACAACAGATTTGTTGAGCTATAAATGTAACAGTTTTTGAATTGCTTTAGTCATAGTTTTATTTTAGAAGGTTTAGCAGAAGCACTGAAATCATGGTAGTACTTTTCTTTTTTTTTTTAATGGTCTCTCTGTTAGTAGAATCAAGTATCTTGATTAGCTTGTAATTAACACCGTGTTATTGAGGTAAAAATAAACTTGAGAGAGAGCAAGTCTGTCTTAAGAATCTCACCTACCGAAAGAGAACTCTGGGCTTAATTACTTTATATGTTGTTCCAAAATTTCACAGCTTGCAGTAATAAGATGCCTTTGAAAGGAATAGAAGTTCTGAAAAACCTCATTGTTCAAAAATGAATCTAATGAAGAAAAGAGAGTGGTAACAAGAAAACTATAACTGTTTTCTTAAGGTAGATAGTATAAAACCTATGACAGATTTAGAATGCAGATCTCGGCTCACTGCTACCTCCGCCTCCCAGGTTCAAGCAGTTCTCTGCCTCAGCCTTCCGAGTAGCTGGCATTACAGGCACCCACCACCATGCCCTGCTAATTTTTCTGTACTTTTAGTGGAGACGGGTTTCACCATCTTGGCTAGGCTGGTCTTGAACTCCTGACCTCGTGATCCACCCACCTCAGCCTCCCAAAGTACTGGGATTACTGGTGTGAGCCACCATGCCCAGCCTGTTTTTTCTTTATAGCATTTTTTATTAATGCCAATTATCAGTGAAAATCTAGATTCATTTAACTGACTGCCATTATATATTTTTCATGCTATAATTTCTTTATTAGTCCTCTGTAGTTTATATTTTCACAATTAAAAATTTATTTGATTTTACCATTTTAATATTTTAGTCCCTTTTATGGAGCTCTTCCCTGCTTTTACATAAACTTGAGTTTATACAAATGTTTAATTTTGGATTGATTACTTTATAAATGATTTAACATGGAATTTCTTGTATGTATGGCGCTTCTTTTTAAACATGTAATTGTGATATTTGCTGTGTTTACATTTTCTTTCATAACAAAAAGTATCTCCCAATCTTTGTGTGTTTGTGTATGTTCTCAATAGGCCACTCCTCAGGATAGTCAGGAAGGAACATTTGGGTCAGAGCATTCAGCGTCACCATCACAAGGGAGTAGTCAGCAGCATTTTCTTGAACCTGAAGTCAATTTGGATGATTCCATAGATATTCAGCAGCAGGTAAAAGTAAATGCTTTTCTGGGTCATAAATTTCTAAAAGTAGCTAAAGAAATCATATAAAATATTTTATACTAGCAGTGCCCTGAATATATTTTTCCCATGCTTAAGCTCCACTTTGTAATTGTTTCACTTATTAGTCCAAGCTTGTCTAAGGCCTAAGCGTGGCCACTAGGCCAAGCACGTGGCCCAGAACTGCTTCGAATGCAGCCCAACACAAATTAAACTTTCTTAAAACATGCGAGATTTTGTTTGTTTGTTTGTTTTTTAAAGCTCGTGAGCTGTCATTAGTGTTAGTATATTTTACATGTGGCCAGAGACATTTCTTCTTCTAATGGGGCCCAGGGAAACCAAAAGATTGGACACCCCTGTATTAGGCATTAATGCTTCTATTGTGAATATTTTTAAAAACAGAATTGTCAGTGTATAACTCTGTCTCAACCAGCCTTTCTGTTTGTTTGCTGTTCTTTTGACTTTCAAGGATATGGATATAGATGAAGGGCAAGATGGAGTGGAAGAGGAGGTCTTTGAACAAGAAGCTAAGAAAGTAGCAGTTCGCTCAAGATCAAGAACACATTCACGATCTCGTTCAAGGTTCTACAATGATATTTAATAATAGCTCTGTGTGAACTTTAAAATGTTGGTTTTATTTCTTTGCATCAGGATGAAAGGAAATGTTTTCCTTGGGATGACGTATTTTTTCACAGTCTCTCAGAAAAAAAGTTATTCCAAAGACAAGATAATCTTTGTTCTGTTTTAATTGGTATATCTGGCCATTTATTTCAGTAATTTACATAAGATTGGCAGCCATATCATGAGACTGGGATTTTGAGCTATATTTTATTTTAGTTAATATTATGATGACACCCAACTGAGAATATTGTTGCCCCTGAACAACAGTTAAATCAGGCCATATTTCCTGGATTCCATTTCATCTCACAATGATACCCAAAATGGTTATAAAAATAAAACTACAAAATTTATTTTTATAAACATTATAATACCAAACCATTATAAAACATAGTTTTCTTCATGAGTTTAACTTAAAGGCATCAGTCTTTAATGTTTTTGTATCCTATTTTTTTGCATCTGAATGCCCCTGAAAATCTGAACAGTAAATGCTGGGAGAGGGGCAGTACGTTTGATGAGTTTTTCACTCATTTCTTGTTCTTGTCACAAAGTTCTTTATATTTATCAACTGCAAATGAGAGCCTGTCAGTTCAACTTTCTCTAGACCGACCTCGTATCACTAAATTATTTTCCTGAAGCAGTAACAATCTTAATGCTGAAGATATCTTTGTCATTAGCAGCATCTTACTAAGCATTTTGAAGAGAGCCCAATGGCATGTGGTTGACAGGCAAAAAAGAAAGTGTTTCAGTGTCACCTTCTACAAGCACCGTAAAATTTTATAGGTTGGAAACTACTAAGCAGAATTATGTAGTGGCCTAATGCTCTGTCACTTAAATGGTCTTTCAGTTTTCTTTGGTCTTTCATTCGTGTTCTGTTTGAAAAATTGAGTTGCAGTACACTAAGAGAAAGTAAGGCCCTTTCTAAAATCTTTTTTCTTCTTCATTGTGAATAGTCACCCATAGTCAGAATCACTGCCAACTAATATGGATCTAAGCAGTACACGGATTTAAGTAAAATGCATTTTTGAGACTTGATTGTACTTCAGAATATTTTAAGATATTGTCACTAAATATAAGACAACTTTTTTGTTGTTGTTTGTTGGGTTTTTTTCCCTCACTTAGAAGTGAGAGATTTGATAGAAAGAAAACATTGTCATTAGAAGTAAAATAAAAATTTTTTGTAGATCACCAAGAAAACGAAGGTCTAGGTCACGGTCTGGCTCTAGAAAGCGTAAACACAGAAAGCGATCACGCTCCCGCTCAAGAGAAAGAAAGAGGAAATCATCACGGTCGTATTCAAGTGAAAGGAGAGCCAGAGAAAGGGAAAAAGAACGACAGAAAAAGGGATTACCTCCAATTAGATCTAAAACACTGAGTGGTAAGTAACATATGTCTACAACGCTTTGGTTTCAATTAATACTTTAAAAATAGTTATCTGCTACAAAGTCTCTCAGCCAAATTTTATTTTCAGATTAAGAAGTTTAAAAGTGGTTTGGTAAATGAGTAATTTTGTCTCTGGCTTTTGTAACATGGTAGAGAAGAGAAGAAAAAGGAAGAACAGATTGCATTCAAATACCAAGGTCATTGAGGGTTGATTGTTTTTCAAATGCAAGTTAAAAAATACATAACTAATGATACAAAAAGCAGACTAGGCTGGTATCTGTAGCATGGACACAGTGGCTTCTGTCTATAGTATCCTAACCAATTATGGCCACCAGGTCTGTAGGAGTAATTATTAAAGGAAGCATATACTTAGCTATATCTAATTTTTAAAGTAATTATAACATTATAGGTTAGCAGTACAGGATAATTCCTACTGTACAAACTTGGCACGGTTACGTGTTAGTCATTTACGTATGGTTAGAACAGATTTGGTAGTGGTGGGGTTTGGTTTTGGATTAGGCGTGGGGAGGTTTCACTTGGTAGGAGTGTTAAGCACAGCAAAATAAGTTTTAATTAGTGCCAAATTCTGCCTAGGGTGTTCTTGGTGGGTTATGACTTTTAAGATGAACTAAGAGTTTACATACAGGCAAAGAAGTACATAAAAATCAAGCAAATTGTCATTCTTTCCGAAGAGCTAAACATCGTTTGTGTTATCTAATTTCTGAAGACTTCCATGTAAATTCCCTCTGATAGGGAGTTAGAAAAATAATTGGTATAATTTATGCTACTAGAGCATCTTGGAAACCCAGACCTGTAATAAAAGGCAATAGCCATCTTCTTACTAAGTTTTGGCAGTTTTATAGGCCTTGGCTATCTTGCCTGAATTTTATCTGGTTGTGAGAGCTAGTGTCAACCTGATAATGATTATTCTTGCTCTAGAAGTTTGTTTATCCCTTAGGGTGAGGGTATATATCCAAACATTTTAGTGCTGGCTGATAAAAGAAATAATATCAAAGGTCTGACCATAAAAATCTCTACTGTGCTTTCTCGTATGATTACCATTAAGACGTTCAGAATCATCTATTTATTTGCCAATATTAGCGTAAGGATTTTATGTGGAGTCTCTCTCATTTAGTTTCTCACTTAATTTGTCATGTTCTTGATGTCACTGTTTACATAGTTTTGTTTTTTTTTTTAAACCATTTATTTAACTTTCTATTTTATTTTCCTTTAAGTTCTGGGATACATGTGCTGAACGTGCAGGTTTGTTACATAGGTACACAGGTGCCATGGTGGTTTGCTGCACCCATCAACCCGTCATCTAAGTTTTTTCTTTTTTTATAAATTATACTTTAAGTTCTAGGGTACTTGTGTACAACATGCAGGTTTGTTACATAGGTATACATGTACCATGTTGGTTTGCTGCACCCATCAACCTGTCATCTACATTAGGTATTTCTCCTAATGCTATCCCTCCCCTAGCCCCCACCCCCCAACAGACCCCAGTGTGTGATGTTCCCCACCCTGTGTCCAAGTGTTCTCATTGTTCACTTCCCACCTATGAGTGAGAACATGCAGTGTTTGGTTTTCTGTCCTTTTGATAGTTTGCTAAGAATGATGGTTTCCAGCTTCATCCATGTCGCTGCGAAGGACATGAACTCATCCTTTTTTATGGCTGCATAGTATTCCATAGTGTATATGTGCCACATTTTCTTAATCCAGTCTATCATTGGTGGACATTTGGGTTAGTTCAAGTCTTTGCTGTTGTGAATAGTGCTTCAATAAACATACGTATGCTGTTTACATAGTTTTTAACTGTGGAATTTATTCTTTATTTCTGCTTTATTTTCATGGGTACAACAAACAGCAAGAAAGAAAATAAAAAGCACATGAATAAAAAGCGCATAACCAAATTCAGGCATGCCTCGTTTTATTGCAGTTCACTCCATTGTGCTTTGAAGAGACTGCTTTTTTTTTTTTTTTTTTTTTTTTTTTTTTTTAAATAGATTGAAGGGTTGTGACCACCCTGTGTTGAGTACATCTACTGGCACTATTTTTCCAATAGCAGGTGCCCACTTTGTCTCTATGTCAGCATTAGTTTTTTTTGTTTGTTTGAAGTGATAAAGTATTTTAAAATTAGGGTATATACATTGTTTTTTTTAAGATAAAATGCTATTGAACACTTAATAGGTTATAGTGTAGTATAAACATAACTTTTATATGTACTGGGAAGAACAATTTATGTGACTCACCTTATTGCGATATCTGCTTTTATTGTGGTGGTCCAGAACCAAAGTTGCAGTAGCTCCAAGGTATGCCTGAACAGTGAAAAATAATCTGATTGTTTAACTCATAACTCTCCTTATTCAAAAGCAGTATCAATTTGCTGTGGTTTGTATTCTTTCTTAACACATTTTAAAGATATGGTAGTGTTTTATACTATTTATTGATCCTTAGCATGGATTTTAGAATGCATGGTTTTTTTTCTTGAATAGTCTAGGGGATATAAAGCACCAATGAATAACAACATTCCAGGAATCAAGTGTCCCTTCTGCATGGGATAGCAAGAATCATTAGTGCTTTCTGGGGAAAAATATGGAGTTCCCTATGGGAAAAATGTGTAGAGAGATAATATTGAAAGAGATAGGAAATATGGAACAGAGTTCAGGGAGATTAAGGCAGCTGGAATATGCAGAAACAGTAATAAAGAGAAAAAAGGGAATGCCAGGTGCAGCAGCTCACACCTATAATCCAAGCTACTTTGGGAGGCACAGGCCAGCAGATTGCTTGAGGCCAGGAGATTAAGACCAGCCTGAGCAACAAAGTGAGATCCCATCTCTACCCAAAAAAAAAAAAAAAAAAAAAATTAGTTGGGCAAGGTGGTTCACACCTGTAGTCCCAGCTACTCAAGCAAGAGGTGGGAGGATCACTTGTGCCTAGGAGGTCGAGAAGCTACAGTGGGATATGATTGTGTCACTGCACTCCAGCCTGAGGAACAGAGCAAGACCCTGTCTCAAAACAAAACAAAACAAACAAAAAAGCTAAAAGAATCCTTAAGGCTGAGTACAGTGGCTCAAACCTACAATCACAGCACTTTGGAAGGCCAAGGCAGGAGGATTGCTTGAGGCCAGGAATTTGAGACCAGCCTGGGAAATAGCAAGACCATGTCTGTACTAAAAATAAAAACTTAGCCAAGCATGGTGATGTGTGCCTATAGTTTCAGCTTCTGTGGAGGCTGAGACAGGGAGGATGCCGTAAAGCCAGGAGTTGGAGGCTGCAGTGAGCTATAATTGGGACATTGCACTCCAACCTCAGCCTGGGTGACACAGCAAGACCTTGTCTCCAAAAATAAAGGGGCGGGGGAATTTATTCCATGATAGAGCTCCAGACTTCTGTTAAGGGTTTGTGGTAGATTGAATAATGGCCCCCTAAAAGGTATCTACATTTAAATCATTGGGACTTTTAAATATGTTGCATTGTATGGTAAAAGGGACTTTTCAGACCCTTTTAAATTAGGTATCATGAGGTGGGGAGATGAACCTGGATTATCCAGAAGACCCAGTTTAATTACACAGGTATATAAGGGGGAAGCCAAGTATGTTGAAGAGAAAAGGTGATGTGATAATGAAAGGAGAGAGAATTTGGGAAATGTTGTGGAGGTGGTTTTGAAGACAGAGGATGGGACCATGAGCCAAGGAAGGCAGGCAACTTGTAGAACGTAGCAGAGGTAAGGAAACAGATTCTCCCCTAGAGCCCCGCAGAGGGAATGCAGCCCATTGTAGATATTCAGAACTATAAGATAATATATTTGTTTTATTCTAAGTTCATGTTATTTTGTTATAGCAGCAATAAAAAACTGTTACAAAGCTAGACATGGTGGCTTGCCTCTAATTCCAGCACTTTGAAATCACTTGAGACCAAGAGTTTGAGACCAGCCTGGTCAACGTGGTGAAATTGTATCTCTGCTAAAGATACAACAAAAATTAGCTGAGTGTGATGACGCATACCTGTAGTCCCAGTTACTCGGGAGGCTGAGGATGGAGGATCACTTGAGCCCGGGAGGTGGAGGTTGCAGAGAGCCGAGATCACATCACTGCACTCCAGTCTGGGCAACAGAGTGAGACCCTGTCTCAGGAAAAAAAACAACTAAAAACTTGATGCAGAGCTCCTTGAGACTTTAGTGGAAGATTAAATTGAATATACATAGGATAAGACTTACAGGAGATAAACAGCTTGCAGGGAAAGAACAATGACCAGGGACCCTGTGTTCACTAAGTGATTCCTAAAGCTTACAGAGGTCTAGAAGATGTTAGAGTTCTGACTAGCCACAGTGGAGAGACCTGGTTGAAAAGTGTAGGGCACTGAGTAGTGATCTTGCTAAGGGACTAAATTAGCCATAGGGTAAAACCTGCCTTAAACCTGTCTTATTATAGATAAAAGGTAGCCAGAAATGTGGACATTGACATAAATCCAAATACAATGTATGAAAATTCTGCAAAGGTATCAGCTATAAATATTTTTTAAATAAATGTCTTCTGTAAAAGGAGGCGTTCATGGAGGCATGAACAGTACAGCTGAAAGTAGGCAAGATGTCTCATGTTTAATATTTGTTAAGGGGATGTGGCTTTCAACAGTTAAGTATCTTTAAGTCTTTCAAGGGGTTAAGGGATGGTTCTGATTTGGCCATTTTTCCTTTGTATCTTTACACAAAGGATTGTTTCCTTAAGGATAAGATGCTGTTTTCAGATTTATCTCTTGATAAGAGAGACACATTCACTTAGTCCTTCCAGCACAGAAAGACACTTAAAAGGTTCACAGGCGGGCGCAGTGGCTCACGCCTGTAATCCCAGCACTTTGGGAGGCCAAGGCCGGCGGATCATGAGGTCAGGAGATCGAGACCATCCTGGCTAACATGGTGAAACCCTGTCTTTACTAAAAATACAAAAAATCAGCCGGGCGTGGTGGCAGGCGCCTATAGTCCCAGCTACTCGGGAGGCCAAGGCAGGAGAATAGTGTGAACATGGGAGCCAGAGCTGGCAGTGAGCCAAGATCGAACCACTGCACTCCAGCCTGGGTGACAGAGTGAGACTCTCAGACTCCATCTCAAAAAAAGAAAAGGAAAGGTTCACAAATGGGATTACGGTGAGAAGTAGTTTTGAAACTTTGTTACACATTAGAATCACCTAGGGAATTTTACAACTCTCAGTTCCCCGTCTTTGATACTGCATGCCACTCATCCTTTTAGAGTGGGACCCTGGCATCCACAGATGATTCAAGTGTGCAGGCAAGCTTGAAAACAGGTGACATGCAAGTGGTTGAGTTGGCAGAGATGTGAATTAATACTTGTGATTTTAGTTGATTTTAAACATAACAGATGCAAGTGTTCATTGACAATTATTTAAAAATATATTCTCTTAAATTTAATTATTATGTTTATTACTGCTTTTTCCTCAGCTACTTTTAAAAGAAGTAACTGTGTCTATATGATTTAGGTCATTTGTCTCTTATGTCTTGACAGTATGTAGTACTACTCTCTGGGTTGGGCAAGTGGACAAGAAGGCAACACAGCAAGACTTAACCAACCTGTTTGAAGAGTTTGGACAAATTGAATCCATTAATGCAAGTATTAGTTCTTAATAATTTAAGGTTTAAAAAAAGGAGGTTTTTATTAATACAAAGAGTCACTTCTGTTCGTAATTAGCCCAGTAATGTCTGCCTTAAATAATACACATATTTAAAAGGATTGCTTTACTTTGATAATGTCTGGTTACTTTGATAATGTCTGTGTTTATTTTGGTGCTGTTTCTCTCCTTAATTATTTTTATTTTTTAGTGGAATTCTAACAAAATATTCTTGAGTTTTATAACAGTGTAGCATGCTTGGTTCCTAACATCATCAAATGTTTGAGTTAGCAGGAACCCTATGTGTGGTCTAGTTTAATTCCTTTTTTTAAAAAATGCGTCTAAGGAAATGGAGAGTTCCACAGAATTGTTGTCACTTGCACATGATTACATAAGCAGTCGTGGAGACACAGCTGGGCTTGGGATCCCAGTTTCTTTTGCGTTTTTCTTCTCACTGTCTTGTGCTCTTTTACTCTCTTTTTTATCAAACAGAGCAAATGTCAGGTAAGAAAATTAGTATGGCCAGCGAATTGCTAGTAAGTTGAGCATAACTCTTTCACTCTGGATTCTTGCACTAGTTTTGCACCACTCAGTCTCCTCCTTTGAGTCTGTTTTATTCTTCATGAGGCCTGATGCTTTTCCCTGAAGGTCAGACATCTTGGTTTGCTATTTTAATTGTTCTTTTATTTAAAAATTATGTGCTCTCTGTCTTCCTTCCTCCTGCTGTGTGATGAAATGTTTTGTAGTCATTTGTTTGGGAAGACATTTATCCATCCATTCATCTATCCATACTGGTAAGCAGGAAGTATGAGGAGACCGAATTCATCAGGCTTCTGATTTCATTCCCTGTGGTTACAGTTTTATGTCTGTGGGATCTTTTTATCATTATTTATGAGAAAATTGCCCAGTTTTCCTTTCTAGTCTTATTTCCCAGTCTTCCTTAAATGGCCAAACTTGACTTTTCTGTAATAGTAACAGAATTCTTTATTTGAGTTGAGTTGAACCATTTTGCATCTTACTTTTGACTGTGTATGATCTCTTTGGAGCCTCGTTAAGAAGCTGGTTAAGTAATTCAAATATGATTATTTTCTAATGAAGAAACTACGTGATTTGCTTAAGTTACACAGGTGATAAAAAGGTGATTGGTTAAGGATTTCAACTTGGGTACTTCAGATTTCTGTCTATATACCACAAGAGTGCTGTCGACTTCTCTTACTCTTTTGTCTTTTTAGATTTTACCTGTTAAAACATCACTATCTTTCAGAGTCTGTAATCATAGACTTTCTCTGAAGTTTCTTTCTGGTTTACCCCTACCCTTAAACTACTGATTCTCAGTTCTAGCTGCATATCAGTAATATGTCTTGACATTTGAAAAATTAGGGATGCCCATGCTCAGTGTCTTCAAATTTTTAGCAAAGTGCACAGCTGCATACATAGGTGATTCTGACACACAGCAGGAATCATTGCTTTGAACACACCTTGTGTCCAAGTAACATTTTGTATTTTCCTGTTTGTTGATCATGTTTGTAGTCTTTATTGTATCGTGGTCGCTTGAGCATCTGTTTGCCTTATCCCTCTCCTCTATTGTATTACTTTTTGAGAGCATAGTACTTACAAATAATAAGCACTAAGTTATTTTGTGAAATGAAGATTCATAATCCACTCATTTAATTTTGGGGACGTCAAAGACAAAAAAGTCCATTCAGTTTGGCATTTAGTAGGTCACTGGTGAGCTTGAAGAGAGTGGAGTATTTTCCAGTGGGTTGGTGAGGAATTAGAGTTAGATTGCAATAGATAAAGAAGAATGTCAAGGTTTAGATAGACTTCTCTTTTAAGAAGTTTGATATTAATATTAAAGGGACAGTAGCTTGAAGTGTTAGCAAGGCCGAGGAAAAGGTTTCTGTGTAAGCTTTAATAACAGATAACGGCTTATTTTAGGTATTGAGTGAAAATAAAATGATAGAATGCTTTTTGAGTTTCTCAGAAAGAAATGCTGTGCATAGTTTTCTGAGTTAATATATTAAGGATAATTTTATGGTCTGGTAGTTGTAGAATAGTTAAATGCTTTATAAATCAGTCTCAAATCTTAATACTGAGGCTATTTTCTTCTTGTCAAAACCTTTGCCAGAAGCACTTGAACAAAATAAAGTTTTATAAGACTGAAAATTTTTATCAATTCTTTCAGATTATGGATTTTATATTAAGGATAAGATAATTCCCCAAAAGAAAAATCCTCTTTGCATTACTCAGTATAACATTTGGAAAAATTGAAGTAATATTGGGAATAAATTGTTGCCTTCAAATATTTTGACCATATACTACTACTTTCTATCTGGTGGCATTATATATATGAAGTTATACATTTTGTTTTGTTTTGTTTTTAATAGTTCTTTTTCTGTATTCAAAAAATATTGCCATATGATATTTAAGATTTCATGTATCATGGCTTATGATACCTAATTGAGTTTTGAATTTTGGGATTTTAAAAGTTGAGTTATTAATTGTACATGAATTGTACCTACTAATAAACAGCTGGAGGAAGAAAGGGGAAAATAAGTAATCTATCAAAATTGAAGTATTAGTAAGTAGTCAATGTTTTGTGTCATTTAAACCATAAAATACCGGAATGAATTTGTCTTCTTATACCATTTCTTAAAAAAATTTTTTTTTATTAGATGATTCCTCCCAGGGGCTGTGCTTATGTCTGCATGGTTCATCGACAAGATGCATTTCGAGCTCTTCAGAAACTCAGTTCTGGATCGTATAAAATTGGGTCCAAGGTCATTAAGGTGAGATTTGGTGGAGTGGAACTTGGGGTTGGGGGGGGGCAGTATTTTTAATGTCTGTTATGTTAAAGTCTGAGTTTTTCACAAAAGGGTCACAAGCTCTTTTATTGGATTATTAGAATGTCTCTGTATTAAATTCTTTTTAAATGTTATGGACAAACCTCATCAGAAACTTATTGTTTCAGTTCATTGAGTTACAGAATTAGATGTAGGTAAGAATAAGTCCAATAACGAGAACTTCAATTACTTCCTTGAAATTACACTTGCACAGCTTTCTGAGTCAACTGGGGCACCATTCTATGAGCCGAACGTGTTCATTTTATAGTATTGTCTTTCATTCACTTTTCCTCCCAATATTCCTTAACTATACCTTCTAATTATATTATTGGTTTCTTTTTTTGACATGTTTTTGAAAATATAAAACAGGCCCTTCTGAAGAGATTATCAGAATATTTTTATTTTCTTCCTAGTCTTTATACTGAGAATGTTTTGAGTATCTTTCCATTACTTTCTATGATTAACTCAAAATTTGCTTTCTGTTATTTGAAGTTTATCTCATCAGTTTCTGCAACTGAATTAAAAACTTTAGAATAACTACTTTCATTAAAGTCAATATATGCTCATCTGTTTTCATTCATGGCTAAGTTTCTTGTGTAAACTAAAGTGTCCCTAGTCTCCTCTGGAATAAAAGATTTTTTCTAAAATAACGGGCCAGGTGTGGCAGCTCACACCTGCAGTCCCAGCACTTTGGGAGGCTGAGGTGGGAGGATCACTTGAGCCCAGGAGTCTAAGAACAGCCTGGGCAACATGAGACCTCATCTCTACAAAACAACGTAAAAATTAGCTGAGTGTGATGGTATGCATCTATGGTCCCAGCTGCTTGGGAGGCTGAGGTGGGAGGATCTTTTGAGCCCAGGAAGTTAAGGCTGTAGTCATGGTCATGCCACTACACTCCAGCCTGGGTGACAGAATGAGACCCTGTCTCAAAAAGTGAAGAAAAATGCTGTTCTAATCACCCCTGATGTAGTTTGACATTTTTATGGTGAAAAGTGGATTTGGATTTTCTTTGGAAGTGCATTGCACTATTAGAGTTACAATAAGAAGTAGGAATCCTTTATTGTAAATACTATGTCTAATGTAAGTTTCATTTTAAAAAACAAAACTGGTGAGGCGCAGTGGCTCACACCTGCCCAGCACTTTTGGAGGCCGAGATGGGCGGGTCACTTGAACTCAGGAGTTTTTGACAGCCTAAGCAACATGATGAAACCCCTAACTCTACTAAAAAATAAAAAAATTAGTTGGGCATGGTGTTGCCTGCCTACAGTCCCAGCTACTGCAGGGCTAAGGCAGGAATATCGCTTGAGCCCTCAAGGTCGAAGCAGTGAACCATGATTGTGCTACTGCACTCCAGCCCGGGCGACTGAGTGAAACCCTGTCTCAGACAAAGAAAAACAACTGGAAAAAAATTTTTTTGGCTACAATTAGTTTTCCAGCTCTGCTTTTCCAGCTATTTTCTAAAACCAATTTTATTGTGTTTACATTGTTTAAATAAAATTTCGAACTTTTAACCTTGTTTTTATAGTATGTGTATATAAGCTTTCTTTTTTCCTCTTCCCATTTACAATAGATCGCTTGGGCTTTAAACAAAGGTGTAAAAACAGAATACAAACAATTCTGGGATGTGGATCTTGGAGTTACATATATACCATGGGAAAAAGTTAAAGTGGATGACTTGGAAGGTTTTGCAGAAGGAGGCATGATTGATCAGGAGACTGTAAATACTGGTAAGAATTTTAAGGTCTTTTTATTGTTAAAAAAAGTATGGTTAGAAGGTTGTAGCCGAAATGAATTTGGGGTGATAGCATTAACTGTGTATCCTGGATTCATCTCCCAAAAAAGAGAAAAGATACATTCCTGTGCCCTAGTGTACATGCTTAATGGGACCTATTTCATAGATGTCAAAGTATAGATTAGAAAGTGTGGAAGTCTATATAAATGTAGCATTTTTAAATGTATGAGTTTTTTTTTTTTCCGTTTTTATACTTGAGAGTTGTGTGTAGGAGGGATTTTTAAAACTAAATATTTGTGATTGCTTCAGTTTAAGTGGGAACTTGGGAAGTTTCTTTGAAACACTTTGCAGATTATTTTGAGTAGTATCCATGTTGAAAATAGCAGGAATAGAATCTTAGTTTAGGGAGGTTCAGATTCATACAATGTTAAATACTTTCTGGGATGCCTTTTACAATACCAAATGATCATCCAGCCTGCTTTTTTTTTTTTTCCCCAAAAAATTGTCTTTTTATTTTAAAAGATTTCAGTTAAAAATTGACAAAATGATTTGCAGTTATAACCAATAGGAAATCTAAACATTTGAAAAAGAACTGGAATGTATATACACACCTTTTTTCTTCACACCTTAGCTCGTTTATCAGAATTAGCTAATTTTCCGAATATTTGTTTCTCAGACCAATGCAAAATTTTGAACCATTTTTGTTTCTATTAAACTCTTCCTGTCAGGCCTACTCTTCACCCCACCCGCGCCAATGGCTGCTTATTCCAGTATCTTCACTTAGTAAATATTTTACTTTGTACTGTGTATCAGGCCTAATTTTAGGAACTGGAATTATAGCAGTGAGATAAATAGACAAAAATTCTTCCTCTTGTAGAGTGTAGCGCAGAGGTCAGCAACCTACTATCCATGGTCCAAATCCTGTTGGTAGCCTGTTCTGTAAAGTTTTATTGAAACACAGCCATGCTCACTTGTTTACCTATTTTATATTACTTTTTTTTTTTTTTGCAATAACAGTTCAACACTTGCAGCAGAGAACACATGGCCCATAAAGCCTCAAATGCTATAAAGTTTACTAGCGCATGTTTCACACATTATCTGTGAAGAAAACAGATAAACAAAATAGATAAATAATATAGTACTTTAGTGTCAGTAAGTTCAAAGAAAAAAAATCAGGGAAGGGAGATGGGCAATGTGGGCGTGGAGGTGTTGCAGTTTTTATGTGCTTGTAGAAGATCTAATGGAGAATGAGATATTTGAAAGTGTAAGGCATGCAGCCATCTGGGGAAAGAGCATTCTATACGGAGGGAACAGCAAGTGCCATGTTTGTATTCAAAAATAAGGAGACCAGTATAGCTTGTGCAGAGTGAGTGAGGAAGGAGTAGTAGGAGATCAAGGCAGATAGGTACAGAGGGGCAAAGTCATATAAATCTTACTTACCTTACTTGATCTTTACTTTGAATGAGATGGAGAAGCATGAGAGAGGAACCATTAGAGCTTCTTTGTTCTCTTTTTGCATAGCTGTGTTTTCAGAAGGATTTCATTGTATTGGATTAATACTCTTCTAGTTGGTCTTCCTTTGTTGTATTTTGTGATTAAAAAATTGAATATGGTTAGTTCCTCTTATATCAGCCAGCCATTGAGATATACGTGTCTATTATATCCCTTCTAAGTGTTTTCTTTAGATGAAATATTTTAGTGTCTTTCCTTTGTGTCTCAAGTGTCATGGTTTTTTGAACTCCATAGTATCCTAATCAGATTATTCTGGGCAGAAGTCTAGAGTGGCACCTACAGTTTTGGGTATATCTTAAAGATGTGCCAAGGTAGATGAAGAATTTAGATGTGAAATAAATGAATACAAAGAAGAAAATGAAAAGTTGCACCTATCCAAAGGAAATCAATTTCAAATATTTTGTTTAGAGTGGGAAACTGTGAAAAGCTCAGAACCTGTTAAAGAGACGGTCCAGACAACTCAGAGCCCAACTCCAGTTGAAAAGGAGACAGTGGTCACAACCCAGGCAGAGGTTTTCCCTCCTCCTGTTGCTATGTTGCAGGTTAGTGTTGAAGTGGGTCTGTTTTTTTTTTTTTTTCCTTAATGTGTTCTTTTACATTTCTGTTTTTAATCATGTATTTACTTTATCAAACCAGAATGAAAATCTCCATATCAGAATAAATGGTTGTCAGTAGTTTTAGGGAAAAGAATATTTCTTTTAAATCTCTTGGAAAAAAAAAAAAAGTCTGCTAATGCTGTGGTATCATTGTGCTAAACACATTAAAATAAAGATAAATATGGAACTATTGTTTCTGAGAACTCACAGGATTTTTTTAGATTCATGTTTTTCTGAGGAGTCAAATTGATAGAACAGTAAGTTATTTTAATGAGTTTAATCAAATACTTTTTGAAAAATTATTTTTAGAAATGATGTCATTCGTATTTAAATATGTTTATTGAACAAATATTTATTGAGTACTGGCTCTGTGACACTCTTCTAGGTATCAGTGAAAAACCCCCACAAATCTCTGCCCTTTTGGAGCTTTTATTCTCAATAGTGGTGACAGAAAATGTAAAATAAATATGATTATGAGATCCTATGGAAGGAAAAAGGTAGCATAAGGTTGATCTATTTTAAATAGAATGGTGAGGATAGACCTAATTGAGAATGAGAAATTTGAGCAATGACTTAAAAGCACTAAGGGAATTAACCATGTGGATATCTGATGAAGAACATTCTGTTCAGAGGCAACAACCAGTGCAAAGGTCCCACACCAGGAATATGTTGGTGTGGTCCAGGAGTGTTAAGTGGGCTAGAATAAAGCCAGTGAAAGGCAAGTTAGTTGAAGATAAATCTTTCTAAGGACTTTGGCTTTCACTTGGAATGAGATGAGGATGGTGGGTCTTTACATGTGATAAAAAGAGAGAGAGATGAGGAGCCATTGGAGGATTCTGAGCAGAGGAGTGACTTGATCTGGCTTACAGTTTTAAAGAATTGCACCGGTTACTACTTTGAGACTAGGCTGTAGTGAGCTTTGAGTAGGGAGACCAGTTAAAAGACAGTTGTAGCAATCCAGATGAGAGCTGGTGATGGCTCAGAATAGACTTCTGGAGTGTCTGTTGCACTGGAGGTAATGAGAAAATAGTGGAGGTAATGAGAAATGGTCAGATACTAGGTGTATTTTGAAGGTGTTGTAACTAACAGGACTTTTCCTAGTGTGATTGGATTTGGGATTATTATGAGCAAAAGCAGAGGCAAGGTTTTTAGTCCAAGAAATTGGAAAGATAGAGTTACCATTAACTGAGACTGGGAAAGACTGTGAGAAGAGTTCTTTTGGGAAGGATGACTGGAAAATCAGTTGTTTCATACGTGTTAGGTAGAAGTATCTTTTTGTCAGCACACTTGGGATGTTGAACAGACACTTGATGTAACGTGAAATTTAGAACAGAGCTAAAGCTGTGGTGCAGATGAATACTTGCGACTTGTACCTAGAGTGAGTAAAAGGTACTTATGCTAGGATTAGAAAATAAATTTATGAGAAATTTAAGCCATTCTAAAGCTGTTATTGACATGCTTCCTAATGGTGGTTAGGTTGCATAGCATAGGTGTTACTGAGTGGGAGATGGCAATTTAAAATGGAGCATAATACTCAGTTTCGAACTAGGTGACCATTAGTTTACATCACTTGAATGAAAGATCAAATTCATAATCTCCAAGTAAAAACTATCTGTTGAATAACATGGCCTTGTTTTTACCCTAAGTCGGTTCACTTGCAAGTATACAAAAAGGGGGCATAAAACCCTTTTTAATAGTGTTTGTTACCATCCTGAAAGAGAAATAGAATAATTTGCCTTTAGTTGTTCCAAGATGCAGGTGAATAAACTGATGACTGAACTTTTTTGTCTGTCCACAAAAGATTCCAGTGGCGCCAGCCGTGCCTACAGTTAGTTTAGTCCCACCAGCATTTCCTGTGTCGATGCCGGTTCCTCCTCCTGGATTTAGTCCGATTCCTCCACCTCCTTTTTTACGAGCAAGTTTTAACCCTTCACAACCACCACCTGGTAAGGAATTTTTGTTTTAATATTTGAACTCTATTTAGATTATCCTTTAAGTTGTTGTTCTTTCAGATTTAAATACCATAGAGCAGTGGTTCTGAGACCTTAGCATGCATAGGCTTGTTACAGCGCAGATTGCTGGACCCAGCCTCCACTGTTTTTGCTTTACTCGGTTTGTGGTAGGGGCCAGAGAGTTTTCTTTTCTAACTTGTTCTCAGAATGCAGATTGGTGGGAAAAGAAGCACTGGCACAGAAAAATAGAATTTCTTTAGAATAATTGAAAACCATGGCCAGGCATGGTGGCTCACATCTGTAATCCCAGCACTTAGGGAGGCCAAAGTGGGCAGATCACTTGAGGTCAGGAGTTTGAGACCAGCCTCACCAACATGGTGAAATCCCATCTGTACTAAAAATACAAAAATTAGCCAGGCGTGGTGGCTCAGGTCTGTAATTTCAGCTACTCGGGAGTCTGAGGCAGGAGAATGGTTTGAACCTGGTAGGCAGAGGTTGCAGTGAGCCAAGATCACACCACTGCGCTCCAGCCTGGGTAACAGAGCAATACTTTGTCTCAAAAAGAAAAAAAGGCAAAAAAAAAAAAAAAAGAATTACTACTCTTAATGTAAAATTTCTGTTGCAGTTTTTATATGAAGTTCTCTAATAATTATCAGCATTTCATCAGAAAATTTGCGTTGTCCCTCCTAAGAATCAGTAGGCTCCATTTAGACATTAGAAATTATATTTAAAAGGCTAATTGAATTTGTAATACTTCATTTTGACCTAATAAATTATTTTTATTCTTTAAATATGGAAGACTTCACAAATTTGTGTGTTATCCTTGCACAAGAGCCATGCTAATCTCTGTATCATCCCAATTTTAGGGTATGTGCTGCCAAAGCAAGTGCTGACCTAATAAATTACTGATAAACCAAAAAAAAGTTTCTTGAATTAGATTTTCCAGGTATAGATTACTTAAACACAACTAAATATATAGTTTAAGATAGAGGTTTTAGGCTGGGCATGGTAGCTCACACCTGTAATCCCAGCACCATGGGAGGTTGAGGTGAGAGGATTGCTTGGGTGCGGGAGTGCAAGACCAGCCCAGGCAAAGTGACACCCTGTCTGTACAAAAAATAAGAAAGTAGCCAGGCGAGGTGGTACACACCTATAGTCCCAGTTACTCAGGAGGCTTGAGCCCAGGAGGTGGAGGCCACAATGAACTGTGTTCGCACCACTACACTGCAGCCTGGGTGACAGAGTGAGACCCTGTCTCAAAAAAAAAAAAAAAAGAAAGCTTTTATTATTAGACCATGGGAGATTAGGTTAGAAGAATGATGGAGAGATACTTGTGAACTCCTGGAAGCAAGAGATCCTCCCAAAGTGCTGGGATTACATGTATGAGCCACCGTGCCCAGCCTAAAAGCTCCACCTTAAACAATGTAAGCAGTTATATGTATTTACTTTATGAGATACCCGTTTAAGTTACAGTTTTTACCTAGAAACTCTAATTCAGGAATTTTGTTACCAAGTTTATTGGGTCAAAACAATATATATATTGTTTTTCCAAATTAAAATGTATTTGAATTCATTAATTATTTGCATATTATAAGAGAAGAAATACAGTATGTTGACTTCTGTAACTTAAGTTCTTAGATGTTGGGTAGAGTTTTTAGCAAGACTAAAAAATAAATTTGTTGTCTGAGAATGGTTGTAATTTATAGGTCATGTAATTGTAAATGTTTTAAATTACAGTTTAACGTGTAATAGGAAATTGATACAGATTTTAATAACTTTATTTTAAATATTGAAAAGTTTAATTTTCTCTATTTGTGATTTCAAAATTAAATATTTCAGAAATTTTTAAGTTATTATTTCAAAAATCATAACCATATAGGCTTTATAAAGTCGTTCCTTATTAATTTGTTGAAAAATCATGTATTTTTATTCTTTTCTTACTTTTAGCCACTTTTTTAAATGTACAAAAGGTATATCTTATTAAAAATATTAAATATGTGTATCATATAATTTACCACAAAACTTAGTTACAATCAGGATTGTGAGAAGAGGAACAAACCTTGAATATCAAAGTAGATTTTATAGTTTAAAATTATTTTAGTCATTATTTTCTAGTTGAATGTAATGGTAGCTTTGTATTTCAAAAAGTGCAAAGAAGCAGATTTACAGTGTGATATTTAAAGTGATTAAAAAGCTGAGCGCCATGGCGTTTGCCTCTGGTCCCAGCTACTCGGGAGGCTGAAGTAGCAGGATGGTTTAAGCCAGGAGTTTGAGACCAGCCTGGGAAACATAGACTCGGTATCTAAAATTAATAATGTAATTGAAATCATTAAAAAGTCAATATTAAATAGAAGATTTGCTTCAATGCTTAAAACATAATATGTGTTATCCAAAGAAACAGAAACATTTTGATCTAGTGAGTAAACGCGCGTATGAAATAAATAAAATGGCATATATAAACAGTTTACCTGGCTCCTATTAATCTTTGATTTTACAGCACCATAGAGCATGCTACAGGACTTGAATGGGTAAATAAATAGAATGTTCTCATAAATCAGGATCTCTTTGCTTTACCTAGCTTATTAGGGATCAAATAAGGCAGCATATATAAAAGCCATTTTTAAAATAGAAAAAAAATATATAAATATGAGGTTGTAGTCCATTTTAAGAATATGAAGTTTCGTTTGTAGCTATTTGAATCTTTGATTTAAAGTAAGTAATTTTTCTTGTGCTATTTTTTGGGTTCTTTTTTTTCCATGTAGGTTTCATGCCGCCTCCAGTTCCCCCACCTGTTGTGCCACCCCCTGCAATTCCACCAGTAGTACCAACATGTAAGTTTTCTACTTTTAGAGTTTTCTTTACTCATGGTAGTGTTAGTTTCAGTGTGTCAGTTCTCACTCTTGTGAATTACTGTTAATATTTTTATTATGAAAGCTTTAAGACAAATGCATGTTAGATAATTTCTGAAATATTAATGGTAAATGATAGTTCTTATTTAAATTTGCTTGATTGTCTTAAATTGTCTTATGATTGGTTTTATTTTAGTCAAAATTCAGAGAAGGTCCTCTCATCCTATTTGTGTTTTTTGTTTTGCTATGTGTATTAAATGTCTTAATGTTAGTCCAGTCCTGCCCCAGTCCTCCCTTTTTTTTCTCCTTCGGTTTCTTTAGTGTTTATGGGTTAATGGATTTTTTTACTTCTAGTCAGTTGCATTTTTTTTTTTTTTTGAAGTGCAAATTGTTTCATCTTTGGATGGTGGGAGACCTGTGTTGCCTCCCTGTCACATTAGTTTTGAGAGCTACTTAGCTTTTTGGCCCAGTATATCCCAGACAAATCTTGTGTTTTCCTCCCTCCAATCTGAGAGTCGGCCATTTTTCCTATTGAGGTACGTACGGTATCTAGAGAATTCACTCTGGGTACTAGATTCTCATTTTGCTCTTGGGTTTTCATTGAGTCTAGGAACTTTTAGTGGACAGAACTAGAAAATGTGCATTTTGAACAGAAGAAAATGAATAAGCACTATTAACAAATTAGCTACTTTGATTATTATATTTGCCTGTGTTCTCATATACTGAAAACAGTAACATGATTGCTTTTCATTATTGTACAATACAGACATACACATAGTAGTTTGAAAGTAGTGTTACTGCCAACAAGGCTGCTGGATGAAACTAAGATTTTTCTCCCACTTTTTTTTATCCCAAAGGTGTATAACATAACTAGGGGTACATGTGCATGTATCTATAAATATTTGTTTGTTACGTGAGTAACCTATATAACAAACCTGTACATGTACCCCTGAACCTAAAAGTTTAATAAAAAAATGTATAATCAAATTACTGTTTATCAGGGTTAACTGAAATAAATCTTTTCATTTGTAGTTGTGGTGCCAGTTTCATATGTGATTTTTTTTTTTTTTTTTTTACATTTTTATGGGATATACACTCTAGCCTACTTGGTTTTGATATCTGTATTTTCTTTACTAGAGTAGACATTTCAAAAGTAATGCAACACAACAGTAAATACAGACATTTATTCATTTCCTTTTTCCTGTCATTGGACGTTACAGAAATGCTTAATATATCCTTTTAATAATTTTTTCATTCTAGTCTACTCTTTTTGTACATTAATTCTCCAAGCTTCTAAAAAACCTTTAGTAATTTAGGGAAGACTACCTCAAAAATTAGACTTGAAGAGTGTATGTGATATATAAAGATTTTAACTTTTGATTATCTAATTCATTTTCCTTGTATTCTTAAATTTTGTCTCCCTTTCAGTGTTTACATAGCTTTAAAATTTGGCCGGGCATGGTGGCTCACGCCTGTAATCTCAGTACCTTGGGAGGCCAAGGTGGGTCAGAATTGTTTTAAGAAAACCTAGAAGTAGGAATTAGTGGCCGGGCGTGGTGGCTCAAGCCTGTAATCCCAGCACTTTGGGAGGCCTAGGCAGGTAGATCACCTGAGATCAGGAGTTCAAGACCAACCTGGCCATCATGGTGAAACCCTGTCTCCACTAAAAATACAAAAATTAGCCGGGTGTGGTGGCTCACGCCTGTAATCCCAGCTACTCGGGAGGCTGAGGCAGGAGAATCACTTGCTGAGATCACGCTACTGCACTCTAACCTGGCCAACCCAGCGAGACTCCATCTCAAAAAAAAAGATAGGTTTAAAAGTGTTTCTTTTTGTTATTGTTGGTTCATTAGGAAGAATTGTTTATTCTTTCTGAAAATTAGACAAAGTGTTGAGAAGTCATTTCTGAATTCACTATTCACAGAGGGTAACGAGAGCCCACCTCCCAATTTTTTCCTACTTCACTAATTTTGGAAAATATGCAGTCAATTAATGGAAAAAGAGAAATAGTTGTGTGCCAGATGCTATCCCAGTTGCCTTTGCTGTCTCATTTAATTCTCTTAATTCTCATACATGACCACAGATGGTTTTATTTTTGTAGCTCTTGTATGCTAACAGTTTTTCCCGGGTAATCTAGAGTTACATATGAAGATAAAACATTTCCTAAGTTCTACAAGTATGATTTTACAGTGTTCTAAGTGACATAAATTGTACTAAAAATTTTAATTGTGTAATTATTTTATATTCCTCTGGTTGTGGTTTTTAATATGTGTGACAAATGCCCTTAGGGATATCTCTACCCATTCTTTAAGATGGAAAGTTTATAGCTTCATATTTGTAGTCCACCTTATGTATTCTCATCTGATGAGTTTCTACCTTCATTTGATAAAAGGTAATGTTAAATGAATGTTAGGACCTTAGTACATTGTAATTGCAGGGGGATTGGGCAGATTTTCATACTCATACATTTCAGTCTGCACTAGTCAGTTCTGTATGTTTAGACATTCACTTATCTGGCATTCCTAGAAAATTATTAATTTTTTTGTTACTAGAATTTACTTTTTTTTGAGTGCTGGTCTTAACATTTTTGGTGAAATATTTCTGAAAATTGTTAGTTTTCCCTATTTTTGGATAAAGCTTTCTAAATGTAATTTAGCCTCTTCATGATGACTCATTTTGTCATTTGAGCATTGGTTATTATATATAGTGTGCTTAGTAATACAGAGATGCCATTATAAATTAAATACTCAAACTGCCAGAAAACTTAGCACGTGAATTGACTCATTAAATCTGAAATATGTTTTTCTCCTCTTTAAACAGCTTTAGTGCAGCCGTCATTATCCATGACCCCGGAAACTGTGAAAGATGTTGGGTTTGGTAGCCTTGTTATACCGGGTGGCTCTGTTGCCAGCAATCTTGCTACTTCCGCTCTGCCAGCTGGAAATGTTTTTAATGCTCCAACTAAACAGGCAGAGCCTGAAGAAAAAGTACCTCATCTGATAGACCACCAGATTTCTTCTGGTGAAAACACCAGATCAGGTAAATAATAAAATTAAAAAAAAATTAAGTCTAAGCTAGGTTGCCCCTCTGTATTTGTTGTTTAATTCTGGGGTAGCATGCATTTGTAACCACTTCAATCTACAAATGCTGAAATATTGCACTTTTTAAAAAAGAGATCACTATGTGCTAAAATTTCTATTTGAAAAAAGTGGCCTTCTGTTCAGGATAATCTGGATTTCAGTTCCATTAAGACCCTCACACCACCACCCCTTTTTTTTGTCTTATGGGAACTACTTCAATGTGTTGTCAAAATAATATTACACAAAATCTGTATACTTACCGGAAGATAAAAATGAACAAGTATTGGGTGTAAATAACTTCTACCAGGAACTTACTTCTAATAGGTATTATCCAGCTAGCTCTAGAAGATAAATATGGTGTTTGAAAGCAGTAAGTCCTTTTTCTGTAGTCTCACTGTTGGTACATTAAGAATTATGGTTTAGAGGCACTTGACCTTGATGCCTGTTTGAGTCTCTTCCAAATGTGCTTTCCTTTCTTTTCTTTCCTGTCCTAAAGCCTTTTAAATCTCCACTTGTGTTCTTAAAAAAAAAAAAAAAAAAAGAATTATGGTTTAGAAAGGTTTTTATTAAAGGTGGAAAATCAGTATAATACCTGACATTTTTGTTTAACTTAAAAAGATTTCATGTAGTAGCTAATGTACCTTGATTACTGGGGGATACAAGTAGCTGATTAAGCTAAAATTATTGGAAACTTTTGACTGTTATTTTGAGTTTTCTCTTTTCTTTTTTTTTAGTGATTCCAAATGATATTTCAAGTAATGCTGCAATTTTAGGAGGACAGCCACCAAATGTGACAAGCAATTCTGGAATTCTGGGAGTCCAAAGACCAAATGTATCAAGTAATTCTGAAATTCTTGGGGTCCGGCCATCTAATGTTTCCAGTAGTTCTGGGATTATTGGAGCCCAACCACCAAATATTCTAAATAACTCTGGAATATTGGGAATACAGCCACCCAGTGTGTCAAGTGGTTCTGGACTTTTGGGAGTGCTACCCCCAAATATACCTAACAATTCTGGACTTGTAGGAGTACAGCCACCAAATGTTCCAAATACTTCTGGACTTCTGGGAACACAGCCACCAGCTGGACCTCAAAACTTACCCCCTTTAAGTATCCCTAATCAAAGGATGCCTACAATGCCAATGTTAGACATTCGTCCAGGACTAATACCACAGGCACCTGGGCCAAGATTCCCTTTAATACAGCCTGGAATTCCACCCCAGCGGGGAATCCCACCCCCATCGGTACTTGATTCAGCTCTTCATCCACCACCCCGTGGACCTTTTCCTCCAGGAGATATTTTTAGTCAGCCAGAAAGACCTTTTTTAGCTCCTGGAAGACAAAGCATAGACAATGTTGCTAACCCAGAAAAAAGGATACCACTTGGGAATGATAACATTCAACAGGAAGGAGATAGAGATTACCGGTTTCCTCCTATAGAAACCAGGGAAAGCATTAGTAGACCTCCCCCTGTGGATGTTAGAGATGTGGTTGGGCGGCCTATAGATCCAAGAGAAGGTCCTGGACGGCCTCCACTAGATGGTAGGGATCATTTTGGAAGACCTCCTGTAGATATAAGAGAGAATCTTGTGAGGCCAGGTATAGATCATCTTGGTCGAAGAGACCACTTTGGCTTTAATCCTGAGAAGCCCTGGGGGCATAGAGGAGATTTTGATGAGAGAGAGCATCGGGTTCTACCGGTCTATGGTGGTCCAAAAGGCTTACATGAAGAAAGAGGTAGATTTCGGTCTGGAAACTATCGATTTGATCCTAGAAGTGGTCCTTGGAACCGAGGATTTGGACAAGAAGTTCACAGAGATTTTGATGACCGCAGAAGACCCTGGGAGAGGCAAAGGGACAGGGATGACAGAGATTTTGATTTCTGCAGAGAAATGAACGGAAATCGTCTTGGACGAGACAGAATTCAAAACACTTGGGTTCCCCCTCCTCATGCTCGGGTTTTTGATTATTTTGAAGGGGCCACTTCTCAACGAAAAGGTGATAATGTGCCTCAGGTTAATGGTGAAAATACAGAGAGACATGCTCAGCCACCACCTATACCAGTACAGAATGATCCTGAACTTTATGAAAAACTGACATCTTCAAATGAAATAAACAAGGAGAAGAGTGACACAGTTGCTGATATAGAAAGTGAACCAGTGGTAGAAAGCACAGAAACTGAGGGGACATAATCATCACTCAGTAGGTAAAAGATACCTTTTGTAAAGTTGTCATCTCTCTGTAATAGATAATGGCTGACTGGACCATAGTTGTTCACTTTTGTCTGCCAGAATTAAGTTAATCTGATGTTCATGTTCACCTTTCTCTTAAAATAATTGTACAACTGACTTGTATAGACATTGTTCTTAATATGAACATGGTAGGTAAACTTTTTTTTTTATTTTTCTGATAAAATATAAATGTTGGCCCCAGATTCTTTTAACGTCAAGGAAATGAATAACAGCTTGTCAGAGACTTCCTATGGAAGAAAGAATTTTTTAGATAACTATCATTAGGTTGGATATGGTAATAGATATATTTCAGAATAGCAAGTCGTGGTATATCTTATCCATATCTTTAGGCTGCTGCAGAATTTTAAGGTTATAGATAAAGCTGTGATATTTTATGCAAAGACTGGCTCTAGGTATTTGAGGAGCACAATACAGAGATTTTAAAAAGTGATTTTGTAAAATCTACACTATGGTCTCTGTTTCTCCAAAGTAAGTGTTTGTGATTTGTTCCTCATACTGCAGTGAGTAAAAAAGACACAAGAAAACAACAACGTAAATATTAAAGTACGTTTCAATGTTGGGTGAATTTTGTTTTTAGATGCCAATAAAACTTATTTGTTTGATAACAGTGTTCTAGGAATTGTATTTTTTTAACCTATAAATTCTTAAAACCTTGAATTATTACTAGCATGTGCTTATATTTTGCAAAAGCTTTCTATCGTAACAACAATGAAGAACTCTGTGGTGGAAAAAGCATGTACTTTGATATAAAAATCATGCAGCCTCCTCAGTATGTGTATGATATCTGTGTATGTTTATTGTGGAAGTCGTGTAGCTTTTTTCTGTTTCTCTGTATGTCCGTCTTCATGCACATACAGAGAAAATAGAAAGTTGAAAAAGTTTGGATAATAAAATATTCTTTAAAATCTGGTAGAAAATTGGAGAATGTGGGTAATTAACATGGGTTATAGTTAAAGCTCTTAGTCTTGATGAAGGTAAAATAAGAGATACTATAAAGAGATACATTGGTAGTTTGGCAGTTCTATTTTTAATACAGATAAGCAGGAAGCCAGTTTTAGCATGGAGCCAAATTTCACATAAATGCTTGCATTGCTTTGTTTCACACTATATTTGCTATTCTGCATAGGTAGTACTGACACTAAAGTACTCACTGGTCACGTGCCTGGAGTTAATTTCTTAATTACACAAAATGTGTAGTGGCGCTGGTGGACTTAAAGACATTAGTATGTATACCAGGAACAAAATACCCATTATGTGTTTTGTAGGACTCTGGATAACACTGTAGCCTCCAAGGTAAACTGAGTAGGAAAAAATTGGGGGTTGGCTTCCTGTTTGTTTTTGCTTTTAATTTTTATTTGCTGTTTGTTCTCGTTTAGGTTTTACTTACATACACAGATATAACACCATTGGTGTTTTTTAGTTTCTAATGGAAGGCTTTTATTTGGTTCTATGAATAGTCATTTTGTTTCCAGTGCCTTCCCAGCAATTCATCATTTGCTCTGTTTATCCAAAATTTCTAAGCAAAGATAGCTCCAAGAAATGATAGAATACACCAGACATTTAAAATTGGATTGGTCTTGCCTAGCTCTGATGACCTAGAGAGCTATAAAAACTTTAAGGTTCCTGGCCAAAAATAAAAGACGACTTACAAGTTCTGAACAGAGATAGTACAGTATTTAGTTATTTAGAAAAGTAAAGAGTAAAAATATTTAAATGGTATTTATTTCCAAGGTAATTCAGTTCAATCAACAATTTGAGTTGGTTTCAGCTCTTTTTTCCTTAGGGTAATGAGGAAAATCTTTTACATGGATGCAAAGTTTTAATGTTCAGGAAATATTGGCTTTGCCCTTAAGGAAATTGTATTGGCTGAGATTTCTCTCAAACTAGTTTAGTTGTGTTTACCATTATTAAAATTAAGTGACAGTCACTTGGATTAAGTAGCAATAAAAAGCATAAGACTTTCTAGTGATTTTTGATGCCAAGCTTTTTATCACTGTTGGGCCTTCATGTGTGTACTTAAAAAAAAATGTGCAAGCATTGCACTGGTTTAAAGATTCTAGTGGTGAAAGTTACCTAACCAGTTATCCTTACCGTATCTAGAAACCAATCTTGGAAATGTGTGATGACACTCTTTTAAAATAGTTGAAAGAAGTTATCATGTGCTTGTTCTTATGTCCTTGTTTTTTGTTGTATAGAATTTAAGTGAAAGGAAATTATCTTCATTCAGAATTTTCAAAACTCATAATTGCATTTGCCATTTTTTAAATGATGGGGAGAAAAGTTAATTATCTTACTTTGATACATTTGGCATAGGACCTATCACATTTTTTATGCTTTTGGTCACAATTCTGTCACTAGAATACTAGCAATTAGAAATGTGCAAGGAGTAACCTAACCACTTTAATACATTGGTTTGAAGTGTTGCAAGCAGTGATAACTAGACACCAAATCACGTAGTGTTTTAATTTGTGACATGTTAGTGATATGCCTTTCTGCAGTATTAGCAAACAGAACCCCTGATTTTTACATTTTTGTCTGTATTTAAACATTTCATTAAACATTAACTTGTGTTCTTAGCATAAATGCATACACTGATAGAAACTTACTTTGCATCATATTATAGGTAGAATGTTCCTTTATTTTAATTTTACTTCAATAAAGGGTAGACAAATAATTTCAAAGTATCGGAAGATGAAAATACTAGAAGTGTGAAATTATTTAAAACTCTGGAAGTAACTCCATATAGTATTTAATTGATAAAAATGCATTCATTATTTAAGCTATTGCATTCTTACCAGAGCAGTTCCTTTTGTCCTGAGAGTTTAGTTGCTTCATTAAATTTATTTGCCATTTTTCACTCATGAAATATTATAGTTTAAGGAGCCACACATTTAGGGTTGTTTGGGGGTTAGGGGATGTTTTGTAAATTTAAAAAGGAGAAGTCATCTTTTTAATTTGAAAAAGTACTTTTTAAATAAACACTGTATTTTTACTTCAATATTGTATTTTTAGTAGAGACGGAGTTCACCATGTTGGTCAGGATGGTCTCGATCTCCTGACCTCATGATCCACCCGCCTCGGTCTCCCAAAGTGCTGGGATTACAGGTGTGAGCTACCGCACCCAGCCCAGTCGAAACTTCGATACACACACACACACACACACACACACACACACACACCCCTCACCCCAAGTGATTTAGAGAATATTTTGTTTTTCCTCACTATTATATCTTACATATATATATAAAAGATATCTATTAAGTTTTCTGTTCTTTATATATATATATATATAAGCTATCTAACATAAATATATATCCAACATAATATATATTTGTTAGATGGGCACAACCTGTAATGAACAAGAAGATTCTAATATTAAAACTTCGTTATACCTTATGTGCCTTCATCATCATTACTTTATTGGGTGCTATATTAATAAAATACTTGGCTTTTAACTTACAAAGAAAACTTTAACATATTTCTCTTTAAAAATATCTTACTTACATAATATATAGAAAGGCAAGTATCTTTATATTCATTTTTAAGTTAGGCAAAATAAAGGTCTAAATTATTTGAAGTGGTCATACTATGGTGTGGCACAGAATTATAAATCTTTAATATTGTTCATGCTGTCGTTTTATATATGATATCTTTTAAACTGACAAATTGTAGACACTGAAAATTTGTTACATCTGAAGAAAAATATTAGTATAATTTTTAATGGAAGGTTTAAAAAAGAGAGATGTCTTGATATCCAGCGAAACTTTCTAAAACTAGAACATTTTAAAATTAAGAACCCAGATTGTTTTCTTTTGGTGGAAAGGCGTACTTTAAATACGGGCACATAAATATTGAAAGCAATTTGAGATGTCCTCTCTCTGTGGTCCTCAGGCAGGAAATATATAACAGAATCACCTGTGGAGCTCTCTGAAAATATTTTGGTGGGGGGATGGGGAGTAGAGGATGATCACCACAGACTTACTAATTCAGGATCTCCTGAGGGTGATAAATATATATATATAAAATAAATGCATACACGCACCTTCCTGTGTATATATGGTTTTTTAAATCCCCACATACCACCATTTTAGATATATTAAAATATATACGTCTTTATTATACTGTGCACTTGAGATTCTTAACATTTTTTAAAATCCAGATATTTTAGTTACATGAAAGTATGTTTAGTGTTTCAACAAAGCATACAGTTAACTGGCAGTTGGTGTTGGAGGATGAATCAAAAGTAGAGAAGTCAGTTATCACAGCTTAAATTTAAGCATTAATCTAAAGATGAGTTATAGCAAGAAAGGGATGGAAGGAAGCATATGAGATGGTTTTGTAGGGAAGTATTTTTTTGTTATGCAAGTGAAACTTTTTAATGGAATACCTCAAGGAAAATTTACTTGATACATGTAATTAAATGTTTTGATTATAGAAAGAATCTCTTTGGAACAATATTTTAAGTGTTCAGGGTCTAGAAGTAATGTTATTAGTAAGACTACTTAGATGTGCATGTCAAAACTAATGCAAATCAGTGATTTATTTGGGCATGAGCTTTGCTTAGGCATTTTTCATCCCCTCCACTTAAGTTCCTCCTTTTTCATCAGGCTCTTTTGCTCCCATATATACACTTAGAATGACTCGGGCTTCTTCTTGTCAAGTTTATTCACAATACAGAACAAATATTCTAATTAATTTATAAAATATATATTGTATATCAAGGGATGGAATTGTGCTAATGGGCTAATTTCATATTGTATGGAAGACGTTAGACGCTTCAGTTATTGAGAGTGTTTTTGCATGGAGCTCAATAGATAGTTCAAGTATATTGTATTTGAACAGCAGTGGTGGAAATACAGCACCTGGTCGTCCTGTGTTGTTTGTTCCCTACCCTCTCCCGCCACTTCCATCCCCACCCCTGTGGACAGCTATCATTGTTTTGTTTTATTTTTCT